CAACAAAAAATAAATACCTAATAGTTTTTGCCTTTGCGGGTGAATTGGAACCAACTTCCAAATCATCAAATGGAAAAAAGACAAAGATCGTAAAGTGTATATAATAGCTGGCAGTCAAAAAAAGTTAAAGTGTTTAATACCATATGTCGCTCGCCGCGTATTCTTTGCAGTCCCTTTACTTACTTACACCATAACAGACAGATAGGGCTTCCGCCTCCCTGCATGTTTCAACATGTTGGTGACATACCAATTATTAAAAACAATCTAATACTTATTGCATAACTTGCGCCATGGGTTCTGGAACATGGATGGGCACTTAGATGCGGAAAGTTTTTATATATGTATGTACTTTATAAACCTAACTCGTCTCAGCCACAGACGCCTTCTGATACCAAACTAGGCAGTGTATTCTTTGGTAACCAGATATACAACAAATGACTTTGCTCATTAAATAATTATTTGTTCTGGGTGAGAATCGAATCCACGACCTCTTAGGCCCATCAAATAGATAGAACAATGAACTGTAATTAAACTTTAACAACTACTAAACTATATTATACTATAAATTGTGTCACAGGGCTTGGACTCGCGGCAGCAGCCTCTTCTAATTGCAGCTGGTACTCTGTCCTGCTAGAGCAAATACTAACACTCTTCAATCCATCAAAATTAGTGCCGTGGTTCTTCTCGTAGACCCCAGCTTGGGTCTCGCAGTGACATCTCCAGGTCTACGGCCTGTTTAAGTGCCACTGCATGCGGGTCACTGGGTTGAGCCCAGATGGGCCTGCTACCAGGGTGTCAGTTCAGTGGGAGGTTGGCGTGGTTACCGAAGTCGAGCCCGTACGAGTGCGTCCCGCGGGCGACCAGCTTGCTAGCCACGTCTGGGCCTAGTCTAGTGACACCCCCTGTGCTTGGCGAGATCTAGCTCCGATTGATGGGAATCCCGAGGAGCGCCCGTCAGCCAGCACCAGATCAGGTGTTGAGAAAGGACCGATGGGGATTGCCACGGAGACGAGGTAACGCGGCAGGGCATGTCTGCCCGGCGGTCGATGACGGTAGGGCGCGAGCTCCCGCAGGTGGCGGGTCTCCGAGCCCTCGGCACGCACGCACGGATTTGTGCTTAGGCGTCTCACGAAGCGAAATTAGTAGTTTCCTATCTAACACACCACGCCATCTACTTTTAAACTAAGCAGAGCTTGTACTATGAAAGCTAGATTGACTGATAGAATACTTATATACTTTTTTTGTAAATACATACATATTATACATAGAAAACACCTGAACACCGAAACAAATATTTGCAGGTCATACAAACATTTGGTCCGAACCGGGAGTCGAACCCGAGACCTCAGCACAGAAACAGGAATAAAATAAGATTTAAAAATGTTCTGTTATACAACTAAGGTGATAAACAATTATACGGGCGACATAATGATGTATTACTTACAAGATTTAACTATCTGAGTCATCATCAGTATTGGCAGAGCCACTTGGGACAAATCTAAAATGATTTTAGGTGATGTGTAATTACCATACTGTGAGCACCATCAGCTAAAAGCTATTAAATTATATCACATACAAATCCGTGTGAATATTGAACCTGATACCGTGATTACCGCACATATGCAAGCTTATCTTCATACACGACAGTAGGTACTATACTCGTACACTGACTGCACAGATGGCGCAGTGATTAAAGAGGTCACCTCGCCGCTTCCTACTGCGCTGAGTGTTGTGGGTTCGATCCCTACATGGGACAACACTTCGTGTGATCCACAAGTTGTTGTTCTAAGTCTAGTTCTTTGGTTCTTTGTGCCCGTTTCGTGAATGTTTGTAAAGACCTCCGCGACACAGGATATAGTCCCAGAGCAGGAGTTATCTGTTTTAGACCAAAAAAACTATTGTAAGTTTTATATAAATATTAGCAAAGAAGTGAGGAATGCACCAAGGAATGTATAGCTGTTACATTGAGTTACATATGACGGCTGTGGCTCTAGTGGTGATTAGTGACCCTAACCATTTAATCGGAGGTTGTGGGTTCGACAGGACAAATAATTGTGTAATGAGCACGGTCATTTGTTCTGTGTTTGGGTGTAATTTATATATAATATGTATGTATATAGAAATATATAAGTATGTTTATCAGCAGTCTGGTTACCATAGTACAGGCTCTGCCTAATTTGGGACCAGACGGCCGTGTGTGAGATGTATGAAGTTATTATTAACAGAACTAACTCTAAACCTTCACCTCTATGAGACAGTGAGAACACAAAATATCTCGCTCTAGGAACCTATAATTGGACTAAAGCGATAAGTTGAGACACAAGAGTGTTCAAGCCAGTTGAGTGATATATTTGGAATTACTAGTTTCGTTACTACCGTCTCAGTTAGTTGGCATTTGGTCAAGAATGCTTCAAACCTGGTTTCCAATAATAACAAACACCGAGCTGGGCAGCTGATGGATCGATCATATTCAATGTTTTATTAAAATTTATGATAATTGCCTCTTAGGTTTCACTGTATGTTTTCTATAATGAGTGTCAAGGCTAGTACTTACAGCAGTGTCTATACTTTGAATCTGTATTCAATGGAATTTAATGAAAAACTTTGTTTTTTTATTTCAACGTGCTATCCTCTAGCTAACAGTCTTCTTCTAAATGCATTACTGTAGAAACAACATACAAAACTATACTAAATGTGTGTATATTACAATATGACTAGAGTTCGCCACGCTTTTTCTTACGTCAGCAGTAACAGTTAGCGTATCGAAATTTAGTGAGCTTAAGACATCGTTATGATAGAGAATTAATGTTCTAAGTTTCCTTCTTAATATAATGTTGCTATTGATCTACTAATGGCAGATATGTTCCCAGTCGTTCTAAGGAAGTTAAGAATTATCTTCACCTAACAACAAAACATCAACAACAGTACATAACAACACTGGAAGTGGTATTATAAGCACTGGTAACGCCTAAATAAATACGTAAGTAGGTAAGGTGGCAAGCACATAGCATCTTTGGTTAGTTATTAGGGACAGATTGTACTGGTTTGTGTATTACTAACCGGTAATGTTACCGACACAACATGTATATCATGTTATGTATATTCGTACAATGTTTAATAACCTAAAAATCATATTTATATACCTACATACATTTTCCGTGTATTGACCGATTTAGAATACGGAATGTCACCACCCCTATTATTTTCGTGGGTGTCATAAGAGTCGGTTCTTAAGGGGGCAAACTACGCAGAACAGCACTGTCAAAAGAAGGAAAACTTAAAACAAACCCTATACCGACCCGTATGGCCAGCGTGGTATAGTAGTGGCCTAAGGAACCTTTCTAAGGAGAGCCCTATGACCAGCAGTGGACTTGTAAAGGTTGTTTTTGATGATAATGTAACCTGTGTTATATATTTAGTAAAAAGGTGCTTAATAATTAAATTATAAAACCCATCCTTACTGAACTGATCTTTATCTTTGCACGCACACTATTAACATCTGTTCATAGAGCCTGTTTTAACGCACTTGAAGATACTGAGTCAGGTGGCAGCTGATGCAGTTCTGGTGATAAAGTAATGTATTCAACGTATTCATATAAAGTACTTGGACTGTTTTAATATTGAAGCCCACTATTTTTTAAGATACATAATTATAATAATACATGTAACGTGCGTAATAAGGAATTTAATTAGTAATCTATACTAATATTATAAAGCTGAAGAGTTTGTTTGTTTGTTGGTTTGAACGCGCTAATCTCAGGAACTACTGGTCCGATTTGAAAAATTCTTTCAGTGTTAGATAGCCCATTTATCGAGGAAGGCTATAGGCTATATATCATCACTCCAAGACCAATAGGAGCGGAGCACCAATGAAGAATATTTCAAAAACGGAGAAAATTTATTACTATTGAGAGACGCAGACGAAGTTGCGCGGGTCAGCTAGTATTATATATTCCTACAGACAATAGGTATCACACGACAAGCTGACACTTTATAAATGTATCATTAATGTTCATTGGTAAAACTATATAAATGTGAACATTGAATGATCAATTTGTTTGATAGTAAAAACCAATTATTGTTGACTAGCTGACCCGCGCAACTTCGTCTACGTCTCTCAATAGTAATAAATTTTCTCCGTTTTTGAAACATTCTTCATTGGTGCTCCGCTCCTTTTGGTCTTAGCGTGATGATATATAGCCTATAGCCTTCCTCGATAAATGGGCTATCTAACACTGAAAGAATTTTTAAAATCGGACCAGTAGTTCCTGAGATTAGCGCGTTCAAACAAACAAACAAACAAACAAACTCTTCAGCTTTATAATATTAGTATAGATAGGGATGGAATAACATCACAATCACATGTATAATCATATGATTTATAACTCATTTAATCATACCAGTGACTAATTTACAAAACCACTGCGACTTGTTATTATTATTACGCTAGATTCGCGAAAGGTCTAAATCTAAAAAAAAGATGGTCATCTTTGAGAACATTTAAATATATAAGACATACATACAAAACTGGAAGATATTTCATGAACTAATCTACTAGTAAAAATATGTGTCGATTTATTAAATAACAAACAAATAAGTAATTCTATTGACTATCCAGCAGTGATAAAGACAAAATTATCGACTGACCCGTCCGCCGTGGGTTTCATTGTGTACCTAAAGTTATATTTGTTGGGAACCGACGTTATTCACGATACCCAGGAAACCGGCCGGCCATGACAGGTGAGCTGATTATTTTTAAATCCAAACATAAGCGTTGCCTACGGCTGAGCCGGCCAGCCGCCCAAACTGTTCTGATTCCGATTCGAAGACTATCGTATTTGTCGAACTAAAAAAGGAATGGTGAGCTGCGCGGCCGCCGGGGAGTGGTGGCCGAGGGGGGGATACGCCTGGATCTCTGGGAGGGAACGAAAACTCGGAGTCAGGGTGGGACTGCCGAGCGGAACAGTCTCTCCTTCGTCGATCGTCCAACACACATCACAATGGTAAGTGTTAGACCCAGTGACATACAAGTGAACACACAAGTGGTGACAGTGATTATAGTGGCAGTGCTGATGTCTCTGATGATGCGTAATCTCCAGATGTCGATGAAGATAACGCCGCGGTCAATAACGAACGAACATGCAAAACAGATCGGAAATGAGACGTCGCGATAAATTTTACGGTGAATTATTATGATAACGGTGCTGATTAATAGTTCTGAGCCCTCGAGTAAATACGGTTTTAAAAAACACGGTTTTAATGTTGATAAACGTTGCAAAGCAGACATGATACAGTCTAAACCAATGAACCTTTGAAGAACAAACGTATCCAAAGAAAAACGAACAAATTACTCTGATCAGCAGTCAATGGCAGCGACCAGCTGATTATTAATCAGTACAAAGTAAAAGTAAACAAATAAGTAGCAAAAAAAAACACAAGAAACGAGACTAAAAACATAGATACGTAATTTTTTTTGCGCCAAAAATTAATTTTATTGGTTCAAAATATTTTTTTTAATTTTGTTAACGCAACAAATATGCACCAAATAATTTTAAAAGTCATCTTTGAAAGTGGCACTTCAAATGATAGATACTAACAAACCGCAAATTTTATTTAAATAATTGCATAAAATTAAGTAAAAATGAATTCCTGACGTTGTAGAAAGTGGAGCGCACATAGTTCTATATATAACATTATGTAACTGAGAAGTCCGAAATGTGGTGGATAAAAACAGAGCACGCGCCGGCCGATCTAAATATAGGGGCGCGCCAAGCCACGCCTAAACAGGCCACTGGCGATGAAAGCATGACATTATGACTTTTAAAAGATTCTAAAATATTAACGTCACGAAAATAAACATGTAACGATAGGAAAAAGATAATAACTTAACTTTAAATCGGTTCTTCCAATGAAACAAAACTAGGTTGAATACTTATTAGCAAACAATTACATATGAATCTTGTATCCAGGTATAGAAAACTTAAAGCATATTAATGTGTGTTTAATTTTCAGGCGGATAAAGATAAAAAAGTAAAGAAGAAGAAGGCAAAAGAAGAGGCACCAGCGGAAGAGGCCCCCGCTGCAGCCCCCGCCCCCTCTGGAGGCAGTGACAGGCAATCCTCCCGCGGAAGCCGCAAGGCTAAGCGCACTGGTTCCAATGTCTTCTCCATGTTCTCACAGAAGCAGGTCGCTGAGTTCAAGGAGGTAAGCACTTGAAGAAACTGTAAAATTTCGTACAATATCTAGTTAAATCTCAATCCCGAGAATATTAGATTACTCCTTGTGAGACAATATCAAGTGTCAAGAATTACGTCAATTCAGTGGAACTCCTTGAATTGTGTCACCAGTTGTGTTTAGCTCGTGCTCGGCGTTTGTTTTGTAAACTTGTGCAACTATCTCGAGTACTCATTGTCTTCAGAGCAGACATTTTCAAAATTTTACAATATGACGTCATTTACTTTACGATGACTCATTTCCTTGTCTCGCAGGCCTTCCAGCTAATGGACCACGACAAGGACGGTATCATCGGCAAGAACGACCTGCGCGCCACCTTCGACTCGCTCGGCAGACTGGCGTCGGAGAAGGAGCTCGACGACATGGTGAACGAGGCCTCCGGCCCCATCAACTTCACCCAGCTCCTGACCCTCTTCGCGAACCGTATGTCCGGTGGCTCGGACGAGGACGACGTAGTCATCAATGCCTTCAAGACCTTCGACGACGAGGGCAAGATCGACTCCGAGAGATTGAGGCACGCCCTCATGACCTGGGGTGACAAGTTCAGCGCCGACGAGGTCGACGAAGCGTACGACCAGATGGAGATCGACGACAAGGGCTACATCGACACCACCAAGCTCATCACCATGCTCACCGCCAGCGCCGAGGAGGAGGAAGGCGGCGAGGCCGCGTAAAGATTCCATCCGTCGCCTTAGAGACCTGAGACATATCGCAGTGCAGCACACCGCCCGACCGCACGCACGGTTCCTTACATCGGATTAAAGACCACGATGTGAACCGAACATTTTTTATTTAATTTCTTTATGTAATTAATTTATTGTTTCCATTTTTTAATTTATATATAATGAAAATATAGTCCTACTATTACCAAACTGTGTAGTACTGTACCCGTACTATGTCAACTTCAACAGCTACAAGCAAATATACTTGTTGTAAGGAATACTATGTATTCATATTGTTTCAATAAAGAATCGACAAGTCTGAGCTAAATGACACGTGCCCCAGTGGGTGCACTTATCTATATACGAATTTTATATTTACACAACACACTCCACACCCCTAAATAGAACAGAATTACAATATGTGTACACTATTCAGTGTATAATAGTTATTTCATCATTTGAACTTAAATCTTACCTAACAAACCACATTTAAGGAATAAGAACAAAACTTACATAGAAACTAGCACACACGCGTCTGAATCGCGTCTTACGTAATAGGGGCAAGACTGCTGCCACCATCTTTGGATCATTAAAAATAGGAAAATTGGGAGGATATGTTGCAGGACAAGCTTTGGCCCGCAGATTCGCCCGCGTAAATATCGGTTATCGCGGTAAAAATTGCCTTTGTCTTTCCTCAATAATCAAAGTATCTCCATACCTAATTTCAAATAAATCGGTTCAGCGGTGTCTGATTCCCCATACAAACTTCCACCCCCCTTTTCACACCCTTGAAGGAGAAATCATCCTTCAAGGGTTTCCCGGGACTCGGACTATTTCTATACCAAATTTCATCTAAATCGGATCAACGGTTTAAACTTAAAGAGCTCACGGACAGGCAAACAGACACACACTTTCGCATTTATAATATTAGTATAGATCGGGAAGGATAAGCAGTAGCTCGCGAAGTATTTAGTCACATAACTGTAACAATAACGAACGCTTGTAAGTTACGTAGTTGTTTTTTAAATTGTACTACTTACATTTGGGATAGTCAGCCTGGGGCCACTATAATTAACTTAAACGTTCGACGTCATCACATCATCAACAGCCTATAATAGTCCACTGCTGGACATAGGCCCCTCCTTAGAAAGGAGATTTTGGCCTACTATACCACGCTGGGCAGACGGGTTGGTATAGAGTTTGTGTCAAGTTTTCCTTTTCTTTGCAGTGCCGTTGCCTGCGTGGTTTGAAATCGACGTCATACGAGCTTGTTTCTCGGCCTTTTACAATAATGTGTTTTAATTAATGAAAATAATGAACTGGGCCGGTTGATGTTCCTGTCATAAGCGCCTCTAATCACAGGACAGACACACGTATACGTGACCCTATCTTATTTGAGCTATTGCTTTCTAAGTCCCACATTCCATCTCAGCTCTGTATCAAATATTTGGTTCTCTCGCCTATTCGCTTCTCTTATACAAAACCTATTCCTTTGTCCCGTCCGAAACTATAACATTCTCAATAAAGATTTACATCAGGCAGGCAGGAATGGCATTTTTTTTCTTTTAAACTATTTTTTTTTTGCTACTATAGATACATTAAACATATATAGATACAAGGTACATTACAAAAACATGTCATTAATATTATAAAACATGTTGGCATGTAGCAAAGGCTACCAGCTCAGTTCACGCCATGCGAGAACACAGTCTCGATGGTATCGAAGGCCTTCCGTAGTCCACATACGCTAGGCAGAGATGCTGATTGTATTCTTCTGTCTTCTCAAATATTTGCCTTAATGTGTATATGTGGTAAACGGTCTTGAAGCACTTTTTTTTTTACTGTACTGTAAAAAGGAACTGAAAGGAAGAAAAAAATTTGCCAAAATGATTTTATGAACAATGCTTCCCTAATACTTAACTCACATTCTACATCATTGTAATTTATTCAAGCTAAATAGGAAGAAGTGAATAAGAGTAATGCAATCCAGCTCCTGGCTTTATCGTCAGATCTTCTTTACCAAACCCAATATGTTAGACTCGTCAAAATAATTCATATGAGCCCTAACTCAAGGAGTTTGCTGTACTATTATCAGATCAGGCCCGTGACCTCAAATCATAGTATTCCAAACTATACCTATAAATACAAAGTTTCATTTCGATTCGACAATTAGAAGTAAATAAAAATGGCAATTTGTTACAGCTAACAACATTGCAGTCAGTTAAGAGGCTGTTGCATGTTGATCTAATAGTGATCCTAACTGCTGACACGTCCTTGTATCGATCTGATAGTAGAGCTTCTTTCTAGTTTGTAATCAGGCGACCGTGACTCAAGGTATTATTTTTGTTATTTGTTAGTTACAATTGAAGTTTATTATAATGCTAAAACATTATTATTACAGCGACATAAACATTTGGATTGTTTAAAGTAAATCGTAGATATTTATATATATAATATTTTAAAAATGATGTGGAACCCATCACAAACTCATGCCTAATTTGCCTAGGTATGGTATTTATATCTAATAACATGGGCGGCGGCGATCCGTCTGATCGATTATCCCCTCTTCCATAAAAAAATATATAATAATATTAAACTAGAAACCTAAAACTATAGTAATTCTATCAAGATGGAATTTTTAGTAGACAAATGTGCAGTGATTGATGTAAATAAGGGTTTGAACTATCAAAACGTTCTTTAATTATTAGTTCTACTAAGAATCCGAAGTAACAGACCTTTCAGATTCGGCAAAACTCAGACCTCTGTCTGTCACTGAAACCTACAAGTATCTATTTATGTCACAGTCTTTGGGAATACCAGAATCTAACACGAAACAAACGTTGCAGGAACGCTTCTTTGGCCGCCTGAAAAAAAGTACCTACTTGTCTTTTGTAAGGCGACAACAAGGTGCGAGTCTGCAATGGTTGGGTCATGCCGGTTCTGATGTATTCGACGACGACGATTCCTTTGGTATCCTTAGATGGACTCAGACCAAATTAGATGCCCTTGACAGGAGAGTCCGTACACTGCTGACTGCATCCCGAATGCACCACCCACGTTCATCAGTTATGAGCTTGTATATCCCGCGAAAATTAAAAATTTAAAAGACTATATTTTTATACCGTCCCAATCTAAATTCCATAGAACTAAAAGGAGAAAGAAGAAGAAATTTGTTTCCAGTAGTACACAACGACAAGTAAAACAAGGATACAGGAGGACGAGGAAGGTGGTATGAAGGTGGTACTATCCAAGTATCTATTATTATACTAAAGATATGGCAAGAAGGGCAGAGATGGCGTTCGGGTAAATTCGCTTTAATTATTTTCTTATTTTTATTATTTTTTAACCTCCTTTCTAAGGAGAGGCCTATGTCCAGCAGTGGACTATTAAAGGCTGTTGATGATGATTTTCTTATTCGTAAATCCGTCGAGTAGTTAAGTTTAAAGTATTTAAAATCTAAATCATGTTAATGTATGCCAACGAGTTCCTTTATGTACTCTGTCCACAACTATTTCAACTTTATCTATGACTGTCGACCTTGACGTTAGGCTGTTAAAATAATATTTTAATTACTTTTGTTTTAAATGCATTATTTAATGCAAATATAAATATATTTTTTACATTTATAGTAATAACATGCAAGAGGTGATTACACTTTTAATTACTAGTATTTTAAAGTAATCACAATATTGTTACGAGTAATACCACTAAAGCGAAATATAAATTAAACGCGTATCGCTGGATGTGTTTAATGTTTACTCTGTGGTGATCTGTTTTGACAATTGACGTTTTGTTATTGTGTAAAAACTTTTAGTATTTTTGTTATTAAAGTACTAAGTACACTTAAAAATCATTGTTTTAGTAGAGTTTCTTAGGAAGCTAATTAGTGTATGAATTATCGGTGCTATACATATGCTTAAAAAGTATTTTCGTGTTGTTAAGCGATTTGAATTTCTATTTTAAAGTGATCTAACTGTTATCAACAATGACTGAAGTAATTCAAAGAGCTGAAAATGTAGTGAAGACATTTTTATATGAGTTCCCTACATGCACTACGGAGGAACTTACATTCAAGTTAGAGGTACCCGTAGATATCCCTCTGGCGGGGTCAACGCGCGAGCTAGTGCAAAGAGTGATCACGATGTTCCATGTACCGGTGTATTTAGAAGACGGCAAGTACATATTTCTTTTTTATACTACTAAAGTAGCAAATAGTCGTAGCAAACCCGAGCACACCTAACTAATAATCACAAATTTGTATGTACCACAGAGAGAGTAATAAGATCAACAATACAGTACACCTAGTTACGCCCATTTATGTTACAAGTCATTTAATATACTAAATAAGTTATAGTTACAACTATCTTCATTTCATGAGTAATTAAAACATACTAAATTGATACATTAAAGTAGTGCAAGAGGTGGTATCAATGAAATAGTAATGTCATTATAAGGGTGAAATACTAATTAATAATATGTATGGGTAAGTTAATTTATTATTTTTAATATTTTTGTCATTTTGTTTATAATATTTAAATGAATGCTATTGATTATTGGAATTTAAAACATAATAATGTTTTACCAACATTAGAAAGACTTATCATAAATTGTAGCTCTTAAAGACTGGGAAGGTATACACTTGCGAGGATATAATAAAAACAAATATGTTATATGTACTTATATTATGAAACACAATGAAATGTAGAAGTCTTGTCTACAGTCAGAAGTTACAATTTTCTTTGATTGTCAACTTGCTTGAAGATCTATGTCTCTTACAAGAGTACTAATTACACTTAATATCCTTTCGCATATAAGAATGTTTATTATCTGGTTCTGAGTTCTTATGATGCCTGTACAAAGTTAAATCTTTTTATACAGGTAAAATGATACCGATAGTACCTCACACACGAGAAGCAACAAAAGAATTGCTTCACAGAGGTTTTTTGTGATGCCAGGGTATCAGTTGGGTCAAGTTGTTGTTGTTTTTCTTTCTGTTGTAGAATTGTCTTTTTTACATATAAACTCCATTTACCTACAATTTTATAATAACATTAAATAAATTTCCAAATAATTAGGTTTAAAAATCCCTTTGTATTTTTTCGTAAAGTATCATTCTGGGAGGTATTATATCATTTCTAATAGTAATTTAAATTAAATAAATGTTTTTTTTAAAGATTTAAATGAAAAACTATCAAAGTTTGTGGCTCGAGAAACAAAAACATTTCACAACAGCCGAGATGGCAAGCTGATTGACCAGCTGAAGAATTCAGAAATCAATGTAGAAGGTGTTATCAAGAACTGGGAGAAGCTGTTCAAGGAGAATGTTATGGAGTTTGCAGAACAGAAAGGAACATCTGATGAGGAAGTTTTTGCAGCTGCATACCATAAATTGGTGCATTCCCCTGCACTTGAAACTATACTGCAGGTGGAGAATTCATATGCAAAGACTATTTTGAATACTCTTGAAAACAGAGAGGACGATATCAAGAAGCTTACAGAGAAGTAAGGATGGTTGTACTTGACAGTTTTATATTATTATAAAACATTACTACATTTTTTTTTACCATTAATTTTTTTTCTTTTTATTTACATTCATAACAATTGAATTAGCAAATTGTTGGACTTTTCAAATTGTGTATTTTACAGATTACACAGCTTTTGATTGCGGGCAGTAATATTTCCATGGGTGCCATACATTCTCTGGATGAGATGCACTCTATCTCCTCCTCTATAAATGTTTATGCACAATTTCATGATGATCAGATGAACAACAAACACACATAGGTTTTTAAACATACATTCGAATATCGTTTCTTAGGCAGACTGAGGAAATGGAGGAAAAGATCAAGCAACTAAACATTTCAACAACTGAGGAAGAAATCAATGGGTTAGCCGCTGCACATTTTGAACAGCAAGCTCTTGTGGCAGGACGTTGGGGGTCCCAATTGGATGCCCTGCGGCAGACCCAGCGCGCGCAACACCGCGCCTGGCTTATGAATACTCTAGAGGAGTATCAAAGTACCTCAGCTCTTAACACTCCCAGGTAAAGTTGATTGCTTCAACTTTTCATATCTACAGAAAGTAACAAGTATATATCTAGATGCTACTGCTGCGGTCTGACACTTGGATGAAATTAAATGTTAAAGAAATATCAAATATGGACACACACGTGTGTTTTACAATATTTTTTTTACATACATGTTTTACATACTTCAAGGTAGCTAATCTCGGTAGAATCGAATTTTCTAAAGACAGGTCAAGCAGTCAGTCGGATTTTTACGATATTTTACGGGAAAATTCACAAACCCTTCTGGGCATTTCAATAATTGTGAGCTTCATCAAGCTAAGCTTGAGTTGCCTTTAATCACACTGTAAATGTAATCTGTGAATCGGTATGAAGACATTCTAGTTCTGCAATACAAAGAATCTTATTAAGAACTGTTTATAATTGCGGATTACATAGTCTAATGCAAAAATTTTAATCCAAATCACGGTACGTAACTGACAATATGAAAACCAAATCATTAACTAAACTCAAATATTATGTAAAAATTAAAAAAGTATCTTTACCCACGCAGTAATTCTCCCCTGGCGACATTCTCCCCGGAGCTTGGTCCCCTGCCGGTAGCCCCAGGTGCGGCGGGCGCCCACCGCCTTGAGGAAAGTTTTACCATCCACCTCGGCAGCCAGCTCAAACAAACACATAACATCCGGATAGTCGCTATGGATCTCCTGGATTTGTGTATTGTCAAGTGAGATAAATAAATGATATTTCTTTTTTCAGTATTTCTTCATAAGTGTTTGAAATAACAAATTCAGAAAGTCTTGCAATGAATATAAATTGTCCAGTTCTGTTTCTCTTTTAGCATTTTCAAGATGACTCAATCTTATAGACATGTATTTTGATGTTGCGAAATCTCATCCAGTATTCTATCGACGTTAATACTCCTTAAACAAGCTTTTGAATAAACGGTTATAACGAATAATAAGAAAATTTACCGCATCTGCAGTCCTCAGGAGGGATCCCGGCGTCTTCAGACGTCCTTGTCCCTGTACTCGTCGGAACTGTCGGGCGTGGTGCTGCTGACGGAATCCCCCCCTCGCAGGCCTGCGCCCCCGACGACCACCCTGGTGAGCGCTGCCACGTCCAGCACCGAGCACCATTTTGCAGACGTCGAGCTGCAGCTAAAGGAGATCAGTGAGAAGGTTCGAGAACCGGTCAGTAAACTGTTTAAAATTATCCCGGACATGGCTGTCAGCCTTGTTGTATTTAGAAATGAATAAAATATATGCAATCTCGAGAATGGCTGTATCACGGTTGGTCCAAAAATCCGGTTCTCACATCATCAGTCCTTCAATATCTAATTATTTAAGGCCAAATTTTAGTGACACTAAAATTTATATTTAGGATATAAATAATTTTTTACATCTTTTGCTTTATTGGTAAATTTTCTTGTAAGTTCTTTGTGATTCCATACTATTTTCTTCCTGCGCTCATGTTAAATAAATAAAATAAATTCTAGTGGGCCTTTCTGTGGTTTATAATAAATGTAAATTGTAATCTACTAAACTGGATATAGAGTTTGCCTTATAACTAAAATATAACAAGTCTCTTGTTCAGACTTGAAATACATGTAAATAATACTTTTTTTCATGAAATTTATTTTGCTTACTATTTGACGAGACCGAGATTGTTGCTGTTGTGTGTGTTCATCTATCACTTTAGAGTCTATATAAAAAACGATTGCAAACATTTTTTTTTTATAAAATAAAGAGTGAGTTGAGTTAAAATATATTTAATTAGATTATTTATTAGTTCATTTTTTATGTAGATTTGTTGACCTCTGTTTGTGTACGACCAATACAGCAACTATTATTTTTTTTAATAGGCGGACAAACGCAACAACCAACGACAAAGAGAACAATCTGAGAACATGAGCAACTGTAGCAACAGTAGTAACGGCAACAACAGCAACAGCGGGCCGCGCATGCGCCCGCGCCGCGACCTTCAGACGGGGGACATCTTCATCACTAAACATAGCAACCTCGACGAGGTTCACGTCGTGTTCCACCTCATCGTCGACGACTCTGAACTGCGATCCGGTACGTGCGTATCGTTCGACGGGTCGGGAACGACGCGACCGCTGCTGACGACGTTACATCTGTTACAGGTGATATAACCTCCCGACACCCCGCTATCTTAGGGCTGCGCAACATTCTCAAGGCGGCCTGCAGTAATGACATCACCAGCCTGTCCATTCCGCTGCTGCTCCGCCACGAGATGTCCGAGGTGAGTACAAGTGAGTGAGGGCGAGTAAGGTAGAGCTAGGGCAAGGCAAGGTATAACATAGAGCAAGAACTCAAAGTAAAAATTAAAAGAGAAAATTTTAGACAAATAATAGTTGGTAAGAACAGAAACATATTTTTAAAATATTTTACACTAATCGTTAGAATCGTCAACAATAGGAATAACGTAGATAAAAATGAGGATAAAAAAAATGATAACAAAATAATATAAGATTATTATTGTTCATCATAAATAAACACAGCAAATACATAGATAGCAAGTAGTGCTGTATTAAACTAAAATATGAAATAGCTTAAGAAATAATGTAACCCACTTCCCACGTATAAGTATATTTACTTAATTAGTCATAAGTAAAATAATTATGTAAGTAAATATTAAAGAAAACGTGTAGCAAACAGCAGAGACCCCACGTGCAAGGACGAGAGAAAGAACAAAGATGACAGTGTAAGCAAAGGATACGGTGGGTAAGACGGCCGAGGTGTGTGCGCAGGAGATGACGGTGGCGTGGTGCGCGCGGCGCGCGGAGCTGGTGCTGAAGTGCGCGAAGGGCTTCATGCTGGAGGCGGCGGGCTGGGGCGGCGCCGACCTGCGCACGCTGCACTTCGTGCTGCCGCCCGCCACCCGCCCGCCGCTCTTCGCCACGCTGGCGCATCTGCTGCCCTCCATCTTCCGCATCTCCAACCCCGTCAAGTGCTCGCGCCCGAGGGACTAGCTAGGTTCGTCTCATACACCTTTTCTACGAACCGTTATAAACCCAGCGTTCATCTTGTTAACCGACTTCAAATAGGACTCGTTTGACTGTATATATTTTTTTACGTTTCTGCGGTCTTTTGATCATTATCAATCGATTTCAATAAAAAGAATTACTTATTTGATCCTTACATTAAAAAATTGAATTGCTTTAAGTCAAGATTGGTTTCACTTTAAATTAACCCTTCAACCGCCAACCTTTACCTCGCGTGGCGAGCCTAAAACGCCAGCAACCTTTAGGTATAATTTTGCATCAAGTCGTGAAAGAAAGGTTATCATCGATATAAATAATAATAATTAAATAAATACCAAATTTCCAAGCAAACGTTTATTTTTCAATTAGTAAACATACAACCGACGATTATTCATACAACGCTTTTGGTTAACCTTGGGCTGCACGTAATATGACGATGTAAGCAGATATTCTACACAAGTGAGATACTCCTTCCTCAAAGGCTGATAACGCCCTTGTGACTCCTAAGTTGCAGGCGTTCATGGGCGGCGGTAGTCGCTTTCCATCAGGTGACCCGTCTGCTCGCTTGCCCCCTATTCCATAAAAAAAAACTAAAGTTATTACTTTCATTTCTATCCATTCTTCAATCCTATCTAATATTTCACGAAAACTTAGTACCTACCCAAGCAGTCAGTACATTTTAACGACGAAAGTATTTGGCAATATTAAACGAGTATCGTGTGGTGCATTATTATTAAAGCCCGTAATATTAAGGTGCCGGTGGTTAAAGGGTTATAGATTATAACAATCTGATTTATATACGTATTTAATAATAATGAATAAATTTATTTTATAAACAGATCTTTTCAGACACCAAACTGTTACGTGTTGATTTCTTCTGCAAAGCTAGAGGTGGCCCAAAATCCTGTAAAAAACAGTTAAACAAACATCTTGGAGAGCTGCTCGACTCCGACCAATCCATCCCTGCAGTCAGACATTTGGGAAGGCTAAATCTGCACAACATTACAACGGTGTAGTGAAACTACAAAGTTTACGTGATAAAGAAACTAACTTTTGCGTGCCTAGTCATAAGCAGTATAGTCTGTTATTATGCATAGTAATTAAATATAATAAAAGGAAATGGAGTGAAATAAAACCAAACAATCGCTCGTCACGACTTTATTAAAAGCTATTCAACAATATTTTAGAAATATCAATACCAATTCCGATATTAGTTAATATTATCATTTAATAAATTTTGACATGTACTCAAACGTTTAATATGTAACAAGGACATGTTGTAATTAGTTATTCCTGTACTTATATTTTGTACCAACATTATTATTGCTCTCGTAAACGTCACATATTGACACAAAATGTACCACAATTGAAATGTGCATTAATTAGCACCAAGTATCGTGAGAATTTACTAAAATCATTCACAAAAATATCAAATATAAAATTAATCATTATTACAGTAAAATAACTACTAAAGCTAAAAACTACTATTGTGCTCTTCTAGCGTCACACTTTCAAAAGAAAAACCTTACAATAACAGAAAAACTTATTTGCAAAATTATAAATAAATTGCCTAAAAAACTTCCATGATTTGTATGAAATAAAGTGTGTGAAGCCTAGTGTTTGTGGCACGTCTCCTGAGTCTACAGAACTAAGTTATACGAACAGTTGTGACCACACCACTCACAACCCGCTCTGGTATAAGTGCCCCGCGGCACTGCTATTTGTACGTTTGGTGCCGAACACATATCATTTAAATCATAAATCAAGTACAAGGTATAATCAGTGAGGCACAATTATTACTATTGTACATAACATTCTGTATCAGAATAATATGTACGCACACGTTGAACACAGTTTCTTGCATAACAGTATTACCTTAAAAATACTCTAATATAAAATTCTTGACAAAATATACGCGTTTTACCGCACCTGAAACAATAGCATTCCTTTAAACACATACACATTATAAAGATACTTGTTTTGGGGTAGATTCAAGCTAATGGCGGACTAAACAGTACTTTTGATCTATTTACTTGTATATTATATAGTCTTGTGGTGACAGCTGCAGTAAAACTATTCATGTGTGTTAACTCATGAGTTATCTCGAAATATGCGTCAACATGGAAACATAGCAAAGAACTAAACTGAATAATGTATATAAAAGAGATTATATTTAATAGTTTAAGATTGTTGTATATAAGACGATATAAGCTTATAAAAACTATTAAAGATAAATTATATAACATGTTTCCTTTATTTTAGTTATAAAATTAGCAACGATAGCCTCGTGTCATAACAGCGAGAGTATCTTCTATTGTCTTTTGAATTTAATATGTTTTATACATATTAACATTTGAGCATAATATCATTACATAATTTGGTTAATATTTATCAGGGGTTTCAAAATAATAATTTTACCAAAAAAACATCGCAAAGATTAAATGCAGCATAACATAGAAAAGTCATATAATATTATAAACAAAGTACGTGGCACTGTTATAGCGAGGGGTTATAATGAATTAGTGCGTGTGTGAAATAGTGAGTTACCTGATATAAGTATAGGTAGTGGTGCTACCTCCTGCGCCTGAGCCGCGCCTCGGCCGCTGGCGACAACAAACACATTCATTTTTCAGCTCTTATTATATCATTATAGTCCAAATAATTTAAAATGTGCACATTGACAGTTGACGTATAGGTTTGCCAAAGCCATGTTGAAAATAATCGATTCAGATTACAAGTGCATTTACGATCAAGATCAATCAATATACTGTACAAAACATCGTTCATCGTTTTAAAATTGTAATACTTGTGGCTATTAATTTAGTTTTTTTAAGAATTATGTTCCACATACATGTTGCATACCACAAATATTACTAAGAATACAAACAAGGATAAGAGAAAGAATCGCGAGTGTATTTCTCAGATTGGGCTTAATTTGTTAGTGGCTATGGAATGGAACCGGGCAACTGGTGACTTTAATTTTATTTTACTTTTGTTTTGGTTGCACCTGCATTACTCTGGTGCAAGGACTAGGAACCCGTTCATTATAAATAGCTATTATCAGTGCGAAGGGATACTTATTCTACGCAGTCGTGAGACGTGGGATGCCGCAGTGGCCACCACAGATGTCACAAATACCACAAACGTTTCTTTTTTATTTTTACGGTTCTGAACATTGCCATTAATATTGCACTAGAGTTTATATTTGAAAAACGAAATAATCTATATTCTTGACGTAAAGGCAATATTTCTTGTTTCATAGTTTCTTTGGATTAATAACAATTTATAAAAAATGTTTATACCATGTTCATTGAAATAAAAAGATATACGAGTTAATTAGGACTAGAGTCGAAAATTTATAAGTTCGTCTTATAAAATAATTTGAAATAAAAAGATACGATTTATTTTATTTACTGTACACACTTCGATGTTTTAGTTTTAAATTATAACGTTTAATTATTTTATTAAATAATTCTTAAAAATAAATTAGAATTTAATCAGTTACAATTATACGAAAAGCATAAAATGAAAAGAACGAATTAATAATAACGAAGACAATCTCTGGTTAGCAAGTCCCTTGCTAAACTACGATTTACGAAAAAAGTTATCGGTTAATTTTTACCTCTGTAACGATTAACATAGAATGTAACTGTTAAAAGACATCTCGTAGAAATAAAGAATCATGCGATTGCTTAAATTATTTGTAGAAATTTAAACTGAAAATATATCCGAATATATTCATTCAACTCAGTACCACAAATTTTTGCTTATTTAAATATTGTTCGACTTAAATTAGAATAGTTCCATGTTTTATTCAGACCGTGCAAAGTTGCGTTCTCTAGTCATGGAACGTCAGTTTCATCTGTCAAAATGCACTTCTGAGATTGTTCAGACTATACCTTCATTATTTTACCTATATTATCAAGTAAAAGTGGTTACATCCGTCATAGACAGACAATTCAAGTAAAGCTAGATCGACTCACCCTGTGGTGGTGGTGGGGGGACCGCCTTCCTACCGGGCCGCGATTTCTTCCTTACTTCTGAAAATGTTGCGTTAACATGTTAATGCTATTATTTTATATTGATTGATTATGAAAACACATCTAAATGGTCAATTTAGTCAATTTGGGAATTCAAAGATATTCAACTTCAAGATATAATTAATCATTATAATATAATCTTATTGACGTGACAACGTCTTATAAATTGGTTTGCCGGGTGACACTTCAAGAAACTGCGTTACGCTCCGCTCACGTTATGCGCTCACAATGAGAGCGAGTGAGAGGCACGCGTCCCTTCCACTCGGGCATGGTTAGCCCGCCTAAGAGCGAGAGAGACAGACATAATATGAAATTCAGTGCGAGATTCTTTGTATAAATTAATGTTTTAAATATAATTCTTTGTATAAATAAATGTTTTAAAATGTTACTATTATTTCATCCTTCTTCCTACTATACGAATGAATATTCACATTAAAATTATTTTACCACTCAAAGTGGTTGTCACGTAAAACTTTCGCCCGTATACCGACTTTACAGGCTTACAGGCAGACTTTACCAATTTTTTTTTTATTATTATTAAAGTAATATGAAAAATTAATGATGTTGGTATTAAATGAATGACAGCCATGAAATACCACACTGAAATATTTTGTACCTTCAACTGGCGCTGACTCGATGGCAGTTTTCCTCTTCCGTTTCACAACTTCAGGAACACCTTCAGCGACGGCCTTCTGAAGTTTCAAATAAAACAAAGAGTATTTAGTGAAAGTGTAACATTGTGGGGTAGAAGGGTACAAGGGACCATATTGTGCAGAAGTTATCGAATCCACAAACAGACCAATGTTGAGCATTAATGCCAAACTACCAGAAACAATGTGTATTTTTCTTATTTATAAAAAAAAAAACATCTTTTCACTTTCAACTTTAGCACTAACTAGAAGCGAGTTTTTTGGAATGTTAATAAGTATTATTGATTACACCATAAAACAACGGATAATACTAACGCACCTTTTTACCTCTGCTGGACTTTTGTGCAGAGACCTCCACGGAGACTTCAACTTTCCTAGACCTCGTACTCTTCTTCACGACATCAACGGCAACTTGTTTCGAGGTCTTACTTGCTTTAGTTACAGATTTCAGCATTTTTTTCTTAGGCGATTCAATCTTTCTCCTTCTTCCCCTACCTTCTTCACTCTCTGTCTTCTTGCTGAGTTTAGCGGGCCTATCGTCAGGGGCAACAGTTTTTCTTTTACGAGTATTCACTTCTGTTCCGGAGGTGTCAGGTTTAGCTCCCCTTCGAGAACGTGAGGTGGTGGGCTCAGACTGAACACTTTCTTGTTGTACAAGTTTCTTACCGCGAGTTACCTTCGTTTCAGCAGCAGGTATTTCTTGCTTTTTGATTGGCGATTCATGTTTGACTGTCTTTCGTGCTTTTTTAGAAACAATAGCTTCCTCTGCTACAGCAGCACGACCTCTTCTTGTTTGTGGTTGAGCCTTTTCAACCTCCGCAACACTCCGTTTGGATTTGTTATTTTCAACTGTCGTCTTTCTTTTTCCTCTCGTGTTGGGTAACATTTCAACAACCACTTCCTTTTGAGATTTACTTTTGACCGGAGATTTCTTAGGAGATTCAATCTTTCTACTTTTAACATCTGCTTTACGAGTAACTCTTAGCTTAGCTTTAGGTTCCTCTTTTGGCGGTTCTGCTTCACTTCTGTTCACTTTCCCTCTCGTCGCTCTAGGTTTTAATTGTGGTGATGATTTACTAACAACGAATGCTAATTTTTGTACTTTTGCTGTTCGGATCTTTGGTGTTTTAGTTTTCTCGGCGACTTTCTCATCTTTATTGCGAGTGCCGCGAATTCTTTTAGGACTGACTTTCGGTGTCGGTGAGTCCGGATCTTTTCGTTTTCGTGAAGCCCTGGGCCGTGGGCTCATGACTGGTGATTTTTTAGAGACAACTAATTTGGCTCCACGTTTTTTAATGTTACTAACGACCTTTGGGCTCACAGGCGCCAATCTACGGGAGCGAGTCGATTTTGGACTAACAGGTTTGGGACTGGCTTTTTTAGTCGTGGAGCTTACTAATTTTTGAGGAGGGTTTTGGGTTTTTGGTTCAGTGGGAGATTTATTTTTGGTAGAAATACTGGCCGGTTGAGTTTTGGTGGGAGTGTGAACCCTGGACTTCGCGCGAGTTTTTTTAGGCGACGGATATTTCACCGCCGGCGATGTTGCGGAGGGCTTAGCCCTAGTCCCTCTTCGACTTTTTGGTCTCGCTTCTGTAGTTCTGTCTTGCATGGTATACCTGAAAACGAATAAGATGATTTATGAACCATCACATACCGTACCATACGTACATTACTACTAAACTAAGACGACAAAGATAATTTTATCTGTTACGACATATTAGTAAATAATTATCAAATAAAGTTAAGTTATCTAATCCTAAAAATACCCCAGGGTCTTTAATAAACTGTCGCACAGTGTAGTAACAATCGATTTTCCTTTAAGTGCCATTTTATTATTTATTTATAAGCTTAAAGGAAAAGTTTTATAAAGCGTGTAGTTATTTAAAAAAACACTTTTCTTCATTAAAAAATAATTAAAGTATAAAAGATGGAAACCTAGTCTTAATTGAAACGATGAAATCTTTCGATTTCCGTACAATGGAAAGTTTTCGAATGTGTCGACAACCGAAACGACGACAAAGAAATAGATCGAGACGACGAGTTACCTGGGCGAGTGTCGGTCCAGTGGAGCGGGGTCCATGACGATGGGCGACACGCGGCCCAGGTCGGCGGCGCCCAGCGTGAGGTTGAGCTGCCTCCCCTTCACGGGCGTGGAGTGCACCACGGCGCGCTTCTTGATGGGCAAGTTCAGCGGCTCGCTCTCGTTCTTCGCGAGCTCCGACGACGCGTCGACCAGAGATCTCTTCTTGATGGGGAGCTTACGGGCGCTGTACAGCTCGGTGGCAGACCTTTGCTTAGAAGCGTCTTCGTGGCTAGCCCTGGCCGCGCTGCCGTGGCGCATCTTGGACGGGCGGAGGGGGAAGCCGCTTTCCCCTTGGGGCGTGGCCGAAGTTAGTGAATCGCGCGTCACGTTCGGTTTAGACTTGTTCGCAGCCTCGGAAGCGCTCGCGGCTTCCTTGCGAGCCTTCTCCCTCCTGTTCTTCAGTAACGTCTTCAACTTTCCTTCCAACCATTTTTCGGGATTGAGAGTGATATCGAGTAAAGATTTAGATTTTGGGGAATTCTTTCGCGTGGGCTTCGGTCTCGATTGGAAAGATTTCGAGTATACCGCTTTTACGGTCGGTTTACCGACGAGCCGATCGAACAGACTTTCGGCGTCTCTGTGAGACCGATCGGACTCATTAAACAACTCTTCGACTCCGCTCATATCGCTCAACTCGTTTCGGAATTTATCTCGTCTGAACAGACGTTTCACGCCTCTGACGTCGCTTAAATCGTTTTTAGGACTCGACTGGAAAACTCTTTTCACCCCCGCAACGTTCCTCAAGTCGTCCTCGGGGCTCCTATTGAACAACTTCTTGACACCCCTGACGTCACTCAAAGTGTTTCTATGCGACTTTCTTTTCTTTTGAGATCGGAACAGAGACTTAACCCCGGACACTCGTCTCAGATCGTTGTCGGGCGAGGCCACAAATACTTCCTTAACTCTGAAGTCGCTGAGGCGGTTGCGAGGGCTGCGCGCGAACATGGCCTTGAGCCCCGCCACGTCGGTAAGGTCGTCTCTAATGGGTTTCCGTGCTCGGGGCGTGCGCAGTAACGCCTTGACGCCCCTGATGTCCCGCAGATCATTTTCCGGTGTACTTTTGCCGAACAGACGTTTGATGCCGGCCAAGTTCGGACTGTGACTAGGAGTGCTCATCGGGCTCACGAACTGCTCAGGTGTGAACGCCTCGGTTCGGTCTAGCAGTGAATCATCGGGGCTACGGCCCAGCATTCCTAGCACTACGGTATTGCGAGTGGGTCTTCTGGCTTGCGCGATGTCATCGTCGTCGAATAACTGCTTTCGAGAAAATTCTGTCATGCTTTGGGATAGCTTACGCTTCACCGGACTATTGAATAGTTGCTTGACTATATCGGACTCGTTCAAGTCATCGATTATTGAGCGTTTGGACAGCGGTTTCTTTGCAGTAGAGTGTTTATTTTTGACAGCTTCCTGAACTAGTTTGACGGCACTTTTCGGTGTGACCACCTCGCCGACTTGCTGTTCACTGATATTCATGTTCTCGTACGAGTCGTTGCTTAATCTCGACGGAGCGTTGCGCGGACTAAAATTCATCGACTTGGACTTAGTACTTATTCTAGTCTTGGGTCCAGTTAAAACAGCGAAAGTGTTCCTCCTAAGCGACGACCGACCTCTCTTCTTAGCCGACTGAGGTAGTATCGACCCATGACTGGACTCTAGAAAACTTTGTATGCTAAGAACAGGAGTAGTTGCTTCTTCGGGACTTTGCGAGTTCTCTGGGGTACTGATTCCTTCGCCAAGTCGGCGACAAGCACTTGGGGTGGCATTTACAGAAGCACTGGTACTTTGAAACGCCGAACTCAATGTTTTTGTACTTATTCTCTTCGAGGACTTGGGCGAGTCGCCGGATTCTTCCGCTTCTACCAAAAACAGATCACTATCATTGATTCGAGATCGGCTGCGCGTAGCGCGCGATATTCTCGTACTGTTCAGCGATATAGGAATACTAGCGTTCTCTGGGGTCGTGAACGACTTTGATTTCCGCGAGGAAGTTTTATTCGACAATACCGAGCTGTACCGAGTTTCATCATTCAACAATTTAGAACTATTACTTGACAATCTAGTCCCGTCGTTTGAAAATTTGGAACTGTCGCTCGACAATCTAGTAAATTTGGAGCCGTTACTCGATACTCGAGACCGATCATTGGACAATCGAGATCTGGCACTCGACTGCCGAGGTTCACCGTTCAACAACCGGGATCTATTCGATAATCGAGATTTACTCGATTCTCGAGTAGAATCATATAATCCCGAGCCGGTACCGGCCGATCGGTTGCTATCGTCTGAAAGTCTAGTGGAGACCCTGGCACTGGTGTGTAACCTTGAAGACGAAGACTTCGTAACTTTGGCGTAGGGCGTGCTCGAACCTAGTAGCGTGGAGTCGATAATCGATTTAGTTTTTCGAGAAGAGCGATCACCGAGTGTGCCCGTAGGCGAGCCGCTACCGAGAGTGGCGGAAGTGGCGGAGTCGTACATCGAGGTAGAGCGGCCGGACGCGGTGGAGTCCGCGGAGACCAAGTCCACGATGGAGTAGGACTCGAGATCGTTCTTCGGCGAGCGCGGGGACCCCGACTTGTTCAAAGCCCGCTGTACTATCGCACTGCCGCGCAGCGACGTTCTGGAACGCAGGGACTCGGATGCCAAGGTTTTGGACGGCGGCGATATAGTCATGGTGGTGCCGAGGGTCTTCTCCAGGATCCTGCCGCTTCGCGAGTGGATGGAGCGCCTGGGGGACGGCGAGTGCGTACTCGACGTCTCGGAGTAGTGCAACGTCAGCTCGTCCTCGGAGGTGCTCTCGCCTTCCGAGCGGCGCGACGTGTCCGACACCGTGAGGACGTCGGACTCTTGTGAATGACCCTCCAGGTTGCTCAAATCGAACTTAATTGATTCCGTTTTCCTCATGCTTTTCTTTGCTAGAGGATTTTTTAGCGCAGATTTCTTCGGGCTAGGCAGCAAGGGGGATTTCTCAAAGCTTCGGTGACCGGACCGACGCGATGAGTAGCGATGCGTAGAATTGCGATCTGTTGTGTCTAGTACCGTGACCTGCTCCGAACAAAAAAGCTTCATTACTTTATAAGCTAACACGAAATTGTTTTATGAATACCTAATCAATGTTTTTTCTCGACATAACTTTTATAGATCTTATCAAAAATCACACATATTTACATCGTTAGGCCCAGGACTTTAGGTTGCTCAACCAAACACTTTTTGCCAATATTGTACTACGCATTATTGAGTACAATTGCAGTGCTATCAACATCAACATCAACAGCCTTTAATAGTCCACTGGACATAAGCCTGTCCTTAGAAAGGAGGTTTTGGCCTACTATACCACGCTGGCCATACGGGTCGGTATAGGGTTTGTGTCAAGTTTTCCTTCTCTTTGCCGCTGTTGTCCTGCGTAGTTTGCTCCCTTAGTCGACTCTTACTACACCCACGGGATGAATAGGGGTGGTGACACTGTATTCTTAATCCGTCACCACACTACCTATTATATAATTGTATATAAAATAATTGCATCTTATGAACACGCTTTGAACATGTTAGAGGTTATAATAAAACTGTTAACACAATTTTAACGACCGGTACGTGGATAGCTGAGAGCGACCGCAGCACCGCGAACGTCCACAGAGCGTTACTAAGCGGCAGTGCAAGGTGAGGGGCACGGTGTTGTTACATAAATGCAGTAGTTATTTCAAGACTAACTATGAAACGTCATCATTCAATATAGACTCACAGCGTCACTTTATGTGGTAACATTTTCTGCGAATGGTAATATATTTACGTTGTAACATATACTCTATTCGTACAAGCCAGATAATATCTATTCTAATAACATAGCACAGCTTGTACCTACTAATTAATTTAATTATGGAATAAGTCTAACAATTTTTATTTAATTGAACTGGTTGCTTTAATTAGGAGACATTTTGATTCCTAGTGCGTAATTACACTAATTGCAAATATTGTATTATGGACTATGTGTTGCAACTTATATTTGTGTTCCACCTTATTGGTAAAACCACTTTGGAAAATGTTGTGTCAAAACAATTGGTTTTATTTGTGCTCGATACCTATGTCTAAAAACGTGTTTAAATACTTTTTGTCTGTCTATCTGTATGTTTGTTCCGGATAATCTTCTAAACGGTTGGACCGATTTTGATAATATTTTACAACCGGGTAGCTGTCTACCTATATAAGAAGTAACTTAGGCTGTTTTTCCTCTAAGGAAAACCTTATAAAATTTTGCCCGGTCAGGGATCGAACCCGAGGATCGAAACCTCATAGACTGCAGTCGCGTATCGCTAAGGCAGCACTTTTCACATTCCACGCAAATAAGTTCGCGATTACTAGCTAGTGTAGAATAAAAATTAATTATTCCATATCTAACAGTGAACGTCTTACGTCTGAAATGAGGATGTTAAAGAAAAAAGCCAAACAAAAAGTGCATCAGCGCATTATAACAACATAATTTCGTACTGAAATTACGTGTCATTAAGTATTGTAGAGCAGTAGACCGCGACGAATGCAAATATATAATATTCCATTTATCGTGTTATTGTGTCAATGGCGCTTATACGTCAGCTTATGAAATCGCTGTGCTCATCTTGTTTTCTATACATAAAAATAAATAAAATTGGAGTGTCTGTTTGTAATATTAAAATAACCGCTTTTTACTAAATGCATATGTATGTTTACACGGTACATATGCCAAAATAACATTTTTTACAATTTTTGTCTGTCTGTCTGTTTGTTCCGGGTAATTTCTGGAACGGCGGGACCGATTTCGACAAGACTTTCACTGGCAGATAGCTGATGACATAAGGAGTAACTTAGGCTACTTTTTTTAGACTAGCGTCGCCCCGCGGCGTTGCCCGCTGTTATGACAACAAACGCGGGTAACACCGCGGGTCTCAGCTAGTTGTACTATATTTTAACCATCCAAGTTCCATCTCTATAAACTATTGCAAAGATTCGAAATCGAACCCGGAAGACAGTACTCGACTAAACCACACGCAACAGCGTGACGTCCCACGGCGACCTTGCGCCCACCGAACAGTCATCAACGAAACAACCGCATTTATACCCTTCAATAAAACGTCATCGTTTTATATAAGAAAAAAAAAAACAGATTATGACCTACTTCAATGTGTGTGACTAAGGTGACAAACTACGCAGGACAACAGCGGCAAAGAGAAGGCAAACTTGACACAAACCCTATACCAACCCGTCTGGCCAGCGTGGTATAGTAGGCCAAAACCTCCTTTCTAAGGAGAGGCCTATATCCAGCAGTGGATTATTCAAGGCTGTTGATGATGTGAATGTGTGTGTATTCTTCAGTCGTTAATTTTCACCCTCAGTGGTATTATTTGTTCTTTAAATATGAATAAGATCTAACGGAAACTATACCTTCCCAAATAACGGACGGACTTCTGAGCTAATAAACTTAAAAAAATACAACTGAATTGTGATTCACCGACTTTTCTGAATTCTGTAAAAACATCATTTCGATCGAGTATGCATAATAAAAAAAAACACGCGATAAAACGTACGTACCGTATGGTTGAGCGGAGCGCGAGTGCTCCTGCGCACGGGGCTCTTCTTCTTCACGACGAACGACACCGAGCGGCGAGCGACAACCTTGGGACTCGCCGCCTTCGATGTGGTCGCCTTCGGACTCGCAGCCTTCGGTGTGGTGGTCCTGGGATCCGCCGACTTACGGGAAGCGGTCGGGGTGACCGATGACGCGGTGCTCGTCAAGTTTGGACTTGGAGTTTTCTGACCCAGAAACTTCGACTTGGGCGTGTGGCCGGTCATCAACAGTATCGCGGCTTGTTTCGTATGATCTGCGAGCACACATCGTCGACTGTACTACACTATCTCGGACATTATTGTGTAAATTTATTCGATCGAAAACTAGCAGTTCAAATATCAACCCTATCTCTAAAGACATGCTCAACACACCGTTCGACTGGGTCACTCAGTAAATACTTTAAATACAATAGCATAACAAAAAACTACTTAACCAAAGATTTTTATTTTGTACTCTAATAAATGAAATACGTTTTAAATTTCACAGTTTTAACATAATTACAAATGGTTTAGTTAGAATTACTGTCGTCCTTGATATTATTTCCGTGATAGATGACTCCGATGTTCTGAGTGATGGCGAGCGGTGTGGGAGTCCTTATATGGAGCAATTAAACAGTATATATGTTGTGAGTTATGTTCACCTGGTTGCGCCGGCGCAGGCGACAGCGCGATGCGCTTGCACCGCTCGGCTCAGGGCGAGTGTAACGTGTAAATATATGATAATGAATGACGTGAACACACATTCGGCGCTCAGGTGGGCGGATATTTTAAACGTCTTGCGATAAAAGGAGTCTCGAGGTCGAATGCACTTATGGATTCATTATACTAAACTAGCGGCATACAATTAAAATGTATATGTTTTATAGATCAAACGTTTTTGTGTTATATGCGTACTGGTTTTTCCCTCGGTGTCGCTTGCATCGAGTAGATTTTGTTAATCGATCTAATTCTTGGCGATATTTTTCATTTTTAAACATTTCGTCGTCGTCTGTTTTTGAATATTTTACATTTGAATATAAAAAGTATACAAATGGTATTTATTTTATTAGACGCGAATGTGAATTTATTTGTTACACTTTCAGGTTTAACTATTGAACCGATCGTCATGCAAGCGTGTTGTGAAGGATATTGACGGGGCTATCGCGATCGAAGTCCACGGTCGGAGGGGTAAGCGGTTGTCGGTGTCTGTAAACGTTTGGAATACAAGCGGTGTTTCTCGCGTTGATCTTATACTACGATAAGAAGCGATAACGCTATTGTTGTATCTGGTTTAGTTCGAGAATTTTTATTATGTCAATAAAATCTCCGAATCTCTAGCTGTATGAGTAGCAAAATATTTCTGTCAGCAGAGTCAACTTTGAATCTGTCGATCTCTCATCGAAGGGGATTCAAACGAGCGTCTTTTCAATGGAACGATAGACGGTTAAGCCGAACGGCCGAATGGTGATGGCGGTGATGGCGTGTGAGGCGATATCGTACCGATGGCTGTGGGCGCCTGTATCTTGGTGACGGGCGGCCTGCGCGCGCCGTGCGCCCGGCGCAGCACCACGGTGCGCAGCTGCGGCGGCGCCGCGCGCGACTCGCCCCACGGCGGGGCCACGGGGGCCGCGGGGGCCGCCCCACCGCCGCCCGCGCGCGACCGCGCCCTGGGGCCCCGCGGAGACGCCACCGCTGAAACACACTCGCAGCTGCCAGGGGAACTGTCGCTCGTCTACTAGGGGCTCGTTCGAGCGAGCCGGGATACGTTCAAAGATATGTGAGCGTCTCTTACCGATTTCCTCGTTCGTGTCTCTCCGTTGCGGTTGAACGATGGCTACCTGCTTGCCACCGACGTTAGCTAGTAATATTACAAACGGTCAATTGATGTATCCTTATATTTAGATAACAGTAGTACACGAGTAACATTTTTATGAAATTCGCATTTAAACAGTAAGCCATATCAAAAGTCGCCGAGATTTCTTAGCACTAGACAATATTACCGCATATATGTCTCAAAAAAAAATATATATGACCGAATGTCTCAAAGGAACGTTTACTGAAAAGGCGACATTTAACTTCACATTTTTGGTGATAATAGTTTTCTAATTCGATATTCGTATAAAACGTGTAAACTCTTGAACGTATATACGAGTATCTGAATAGCAAACGCAAAAGATCATGGTCAGAGGGTATAATGACAGTCCTTATAAACGACTTCGAAGTCTGCATTATCGGCAAACATAGTAATGTTGAGATTTTGGTAGAATTCTAAGGATATGAGATTAGGAACAGCTGCAATTTAAAAAGTGTGACCAGGATTAGCTAACGGAACGGAAGTTGTGCTCCATACCGATAGACGATGCGCCAATACGCGGCTACACACATCTTTGATGATGCCGGACTAATTGACGGAACTTTGCTGGGCAGTTTTAATGCTTTCCTACCTTAACCTCGCTTAAATTATTCGTATATATGTTCCAGAACTTTTACAACAATGGAATCTTGAACCGATAGCAAAAAGTCACAGGTGATAACAATCGGTACGTACTTGTTTAATATTGATTGTCAATAAAGAAAATTATAGTTCAAAAAACCGAGGAAACTTTTGGTAAAATTTTCTACTTAAAAGTAATAAATGAAATATACAAAAAAAATTGCAGGATTTATGCATTTAATAATAAACAGTACACATTAGTTTACAAAAAATCAACAAAAAACTACAATAACTCGAAAGTTAAACCCAAATACTTAATAAATAGTTTAATGCATAATAATTTCGTATTGCGCGACTAACATTATCTGTACATGTGCAAAGAAATAAAGGCAGAAACTTCAGTACCTCTTATAAGCCATACTGACATCTGAGTGGTACAGAATATAAAGTTGGTTGTTTTATGAATGCCACTATGAGATAATGAAAATTTGCAAACCTAACTGCTGGAGGCTAAAATAGCAAACATTAATGCAGCGACTAAAAAACAAAGAAAGCTTCTGCAGTGGTTCCAAGCTTCCGAGCTATGATATTTAGCTAACTTCTGTATCCGCTCGTCATCAGTATATTCTTGGCCTTTTCCCAACTTGCGAGAGAGCCTTGCAGTAAATCCGTCCTCAGCTGACCTGTCTCCCTTATAAGCTACTGCCTTGCCAAATTTAAGATTTCTAATTGAAAAAACGAACAATTCTCATTTAAAGTTGCAAAAGCTCGTATACTTCATAATTCAAATCTATCTCAAAAGCCGTCCCCTGCCAACAGCCATTTTCACAGTTCAAGTAGTTTGCCAGATTTCTTGATTACTCATAAAATGGGTGACTTACTTATAGACATGCAATGAAAGAGTTTTGTGGATGGGACTCACCAGGCATAGAGGCGCGATGTGTCATCTCCAGCGCGACCTGCAGCGCAGGGTCCCGCCGGGCCGCCGGGGCGGGGCCCGAGCCGCGCCGGGCCGAGCGGGGCTTGCGCCGGGACACGTACAGAGCTGAATATAATTGTTATACTATTAGAACGACTCAATTATTTTTTAATCAATATTTATATTATTAAAGTAACAATTTTGCAAGAACACAATCCAGCACCTTTATCCAGATTATTGGTATCTTTGGCTTATGACTGTACATAGATGTAGATTATCCTTTAACACAAGGATTCCTAAACTATTTTGGGCATGAGACCCCCTTTTCTAAAATGATCTGATACCGCAGACCCTCATAGCCAAATTATAGCACGCTAATCGACTTGTTAAGTTTTTAAAAGTACAACAATTATATTTCTTACTAAGATAGTAGTCATTCTTGTAGCAAGTTGGTAAACGTAATACAACTAATACAGTATCTTGAAAGTTGAAAATTAATTCACATAAAAACTTGTGTTAATTAATAGAGGTCGATATTTAGACATCGCCTACCCCCAAAATCAGTTTTCGTTTATGTTGACCCCTGGGAAACCCATTTCGACCCCAAGGGATCGATATCGACTACTTTGAGAATCCCTTTTTTTTTTTTTTTTTTTTTAACGTGTGGAAATCCCCTCGGACCGTCACCCCACCGGGGTTTGCGGCGGGGTGGTGTGTCGGACTCGAACCGACTAAAACCACACGGTGTGCCCTCTTTGCGCTTCCAGTTTAGGAGGGGTCCAGGTAGTTATCGCCTTCTGGACCCCTCCCAGCGCCGGCCCGCTCCTGGTGCGGGCTCCGTCTTCAATTATCCTCTCTTTAGGCGACGTCCGGCACACGCGGACGCCGCCCCCTCGCGGCTGGCCAACTAATGCGGGTGGAGGGGAAACCCACCCCGTCCACCCGCGGCCACACTCAGGGCGGCATGAGGCGCAGGTAAGCGCGCCTCCGCCGCCCGGTTCGCCGGCGGCGGATCAGGTCCGAGTGGAGGTCGTCCTCCCGGGCCTTCTCCGCCGCCTCCTTCTGCGAGATTACCTCCTCGCAGAAGGTTGCGACCGCGGTAAAACAACTGTCGCTACCGGCCATGGAGCGAATTACGGCCGGTAGCGAGAGATCTGCTCCGATGACTGCAGTGAGGGCCCGGCGCTGCGTCGCCCATGCGGGGCAGACCGCCAGCGTGTGCTGGGCCGAGTCCTCACTGCAGTCGCAGTGGTGGCAGGCGGGACTCAGTTCCCTCCTAGCGACCGAGTGCAGGTACTTTCCGAAGCAACCGTGCCCGGAAAGCACCTGCGTCAGCCGGAAGGAAAGGGCCCCGTGCTGCCGCCCTGCCCACTCGGCTATGACCGGCTGGAGAGCCTCCACGGCGGCGAAGCCAGCGCGTGGAGTCTCCAGCCGGAACGACCATCTAACCATGGTGGCTCGGCGAGCGGCTTCGCGCCACTCGCGCACGTCTTCGGGCGGAGGGCGAAATCCGCTCTCCGCCCGGAAGTCAGCCACTCGCCGATAAACTTCGGCGAGCACTTCCGCCTCCAAATCCCACGGGGGTGTTCCGGCCAAGGCGCAAGCCGCCTCGGTGGACACCGTGCGGTATCCGCGTATGGCTCTGACCGCCAATATCCTCTGGGGGCGCCAGAGGCGCGCCCTATTCGGGGCGGTCAGAGCCGCCACCCACACCGGTGCACCATAAAGCGCCATGGACCGGACAACCCCCGCGTACAGCCGCCTCGTGGGAACACTGGCCCCGCCCAAATTGGGCAAAAGTCGCCCTAGGGCGGAGGCAGTGTCCACCAGCTTCGGACCAAGCTGTCGGAAGTGCTCGTCGAAGAGCCACCTACCGTCTAGGACCAGACCCAGGTACCTCATCTGGGCCCGGACCGGTACGAGGACCGAGCCGACCTCGATTGAGGCGCCGGCGGGTGGACCACGACGGGGCCCATGAAATAATAGGGCCTCCGTCTTATCCAGGGCCACCCGTAATCCCAACGCCTCAATGCGCCCGACCACCTGGGAAACTCCCGTGGCGGCCAGGCGCGCCGCCTCCTGGAAGTTAGCCCCCCGGGCCGTGACTAAAGTGTCATCTGCGTAGCAGAGTACACCCAGCCCGGGGGGGAGACGCCCTCGTAGGGCCCAGTCGTATCCAATGTTCCACAGGAGCGGTCCTAGGACAGACCCCTGCGGAACACCGCACGACATGGCCCTGCGTCTCAAGACGCCATCTCGGTCCTCGTACATGACGGTTCGCTCCTCAAGGTAGTCTGCCACCAGCCGCCTCAGGTACTCCGGCACTCCGTGGTAGCGGAGCGCTTCCCTGATGCAGCTGAATGGCAGACTATTGAAGGCGTTGGCGATGTCCAAGGACACCGCCAACACCACTCCGCCGCAGCTCACGGCCTCCTCGGTCACGGCCCTAAGGCGCATTACGGCATCGATCGTCGAACGCCCCGCTCGGAAACCGAATTGGGCGTCCGACAGATCGGGGCCAACCTCGCAAAGGTGCCGGACGATGCGGGCAGAAAGCACCCTCTCAAAAAGTTTACCCGCCTCGTCCAGCAACACGATAGGCCTATAGGCCGCGACCGATTCGGCAGGCCGTCCCGGCTTCTGCAGCAGGACCAGCTTCCCGCATTTCCAGCGCTCAGGGAAGCGTCCGGACGCCAGGCTAGCGTCCAACACCCCCCTGAGGTGGTCCGACATGTAGTCGAGGGCTCGGGCCATCACTCGGGCTGGAACCCCATCCGGCCCGGGGGCAGTGTTCTTGGATCTAATCCGTAGAACAGCCGCCCCTAACTCCGATTCCCTGACGGGCGGAACATCAGCCTCGCTGCCCCCGTCGTCTCCGGCTGATGCAGCCATCGACGGGGGTGTGTGCTCCGCCCGCTGCGGGAATAGGCCCTCGACCACTTCCTGCAGGAAGCTGGGCTGGAGAGTCTCCGTAAGGGGGGGGCCCGACGTGCGGAGCTTTTGACGCACCGCACGATAAGGGCGACCCCAGGGGTCACGCTCGAGACTCTCCAGCATCTCCTCTCTACTGACATCCTTGGCGCGGCAGATGGCCAGCCTCAGAGTTTTCCGAGCTTCTCGGTACTCCTCATGAAACCGGTCCACCTCCTCACCGACCCCGCGGTGACGTCGCCGACTACGGGTGAGGGACCTCCGGGCACGTACACAGGCCGCACGGAGGTCCGCCAACTCCTGGGACCACCAGTAGACCTCCTTCCTTGGAGGCCGACAACCACGAACGCGGGGCATGGCCGCATCGCAAATCTGCGTAATCGCATCGCAGAAGCGACCAGCCCCCATGTCGACCTCCTCGGTCGGGGCCTGCGGAGACAGCAAAGAGTGAATAATGGCCGCCTCCTCTAGTAGGTCCCTGTCGAGCTTGGCGATAGCCCACCGCGGAAAGCGGGAAGGGCGCCGCGCCGCGTGACCCCTACTGGGGTCCTGGGACCGGGAGAGCTCGAATCGGATGTACAAATGATCCGAGAGCGTCTCGACCTCTTCCAGGACACACCAGTTCCTTACTCGTGCGGCGACTGCAGGGGTAGCGAACGAAAGGTCCACTATCGACCCCCCCTGCTGTCGCACGCACGTGTTGGTGGAGCCTCTGTTCAGCAAACAGAGGCCCACCGACGCCGCCCACTCCTCAACGGCTTCGCCCCTGGCGTCCGTCGCAGGGGAACCCCACGCAATGGACTTTGCGTTGAAGTCCCCCAGCACGAGGACGTGCCCAGACACACTTTGAGAATCCCTGCTTTAACACGTAGACAAGATTAACGCAAATAACTAGACTAATGTACAGAGGAAGTTAACAGTTCTCTTAACTTATAATGTCTTAAGGAACAGTCACTAAGCAATAAATCGGTTCCGCATAATGTAAATGTAGGAAGTATAAAATAAAGTGAAATACTGCTCACCGGGCTGTGGCGCCTGGATCCGGCGAGCGTCAGGGCGAGTATAGTCCCAGCGCAGCTCCCGCCCACCGATAGTGATCACGTCCCCGTGGCGCAGCGCCGCCACGCTCACGGGCCGCCCGTTCACTAGCGTCGAGCCGCCACACACGTTGCGAACCACGGTCTGGACAATCATTCATTTTATATTTGTGCACTGTTTTGATATTCATATTTATTATTTACGTTGTAGCATTAGAGTTATATCGATGTCATCCTAAGGAGCTAGCCTGGCTTTTGGGGCTAGTTCCACATCATCTAGCCTAACAAAAGTATGGCCCTTTTCCCGAAGTCACTCTTGATTTTTTTGAAATCCTCTAACTTCGTAGTGGACAGTCTGAATTTTCAATTACCAAGGGCGCTTAATGTACCTAGGTATATTACTAAATGTTTGTATCAATGTGTAATCAAGTTTCTCGATTTTGTTACGAATTACTCGCCGAACATCACAATCCTAAGGTAGTTAGCTGACACACAACCTATAACCTTCGAACACAAATTAACACAATTAATATTTAGCCCATAAAGTCTTGTCTGGATATAGAAACTGCATTATTTTGTAATTGTATACAAATATAAACTCTCCATTATGTAACGCCTACTATAATGTGATAAAGTTATAACTGCGATAGTAACTCTATCTGTCAGGCTTTCACAGCTAAACCGCTAAACCAATTTTAATGAACTTTTAAATAGAGATACTTTGATTCTTGACGAAGGGCATAAACTTTTTACTGCAATAATTGATATAGACACGGGCAAAGGCCAGTTCTATATATCTAAGGCGATAGATAGGCAGGTAAATAGTGGGAATGAACAAGTGCAGCGTCATTGAAGAACAATGTTTACTATTAAATTATTTAATGCTTTTGTTGCTTAGTAAGGATTGCCTTGCAAGTGTTGATTTCGTTACATATAAGTGTAAATACCATTGTCTCACTAGTCGCAATACAGTTCTTGAACCACGGTTTAAGAGATCTAATTGTTTTTTAATTTGTTAACTAGGCCTGTTAATATTAGACATCTTTATTTTTTTAATAAATACAATGACTCGGCATATAAGAATATGAAAAAAAAAATTCAATTTATCTAAAAGACAATAAACAGTTTTTATCTCTCATACCAAAGATGACATAAAAATTCAACATAATATAAATAAGGCAACTTTTTGAATAATTATATAATGTGCTTACTTGGTTGGCATGTACAGCAACAGTGGCATGGTGTGGGTCGACCGAGTCCAACATAAAGCGAATGTCACAAGAATGGTCACTGCCGAGTGTAACAACACCTTCCGCTAGTGGGAAGCGCTTTACATCACGCCCCATGCGGTCCAACACCACAAGATGACCACCTGACATCTCTGTATCACCAAACAAAACACATCTTATAATACTCTTATCTATTTATTACTTGACCAACTATAGATGGTTCTCAATATCTGAATTAGATAGATAAATAACTTTTTTTTAAATAAAAACCTTATTAAACAGATAAGGCAAAGTACATGAAAAAATGAGATGATATTTTTTTCTAAAAACTGCAATAGGGAATATGCACGTGACACCAAAATGGACAAAATATTTTTATTTGTAATTTTTATTGCTAAAAAATGATACCCATACAATTATTTTTTAATTTTATTATAATTTAATAGTGAAATTTAATTTTCAAAAATTGGCTTTTTTAAGATTCCCTCGCAAATTTCTAAAACGCAACGCTATTGGTTGAATAAAACGTGACGTCAACCTACACTGTCAAGAGTGTCAACAAGTTGTGTGTATTTGTAATATTTGGTTTCTGGTGATTATTTGTTTCATTTTAAGTTAATAACTAACACGTTTTCAGTGTTAAATTATTAAATTCCCGTGTAGAAAGACTCAACACAATGACTGAATATACTTTGTCAGGTGCAGTTTTAATACTATTTGGGCACAAAGGAATGGCACAATATTTATAATAAGTTTTTATTGGCTTTTCCATGGTAATAAGTTAATTTTTATCACTCACTTTTTTAACTTTTACAAACTTTGTGAACTTCACTCCGTTGTTGACATCGAATTCGTCAGAAAGTGTAATCTGACGTTACAAAAAAAGCGCGCCAAAGTGGACGTGTTCAAATTGCCCCAAAATGATAGTGATTTTAATAAAAAATTTTTTGCTTAACGGTTTATATTTCGGATGTGTTATATTTATTTTTGGTAATGTAATAACTAGTAGAATCGTTTAAAAAAATACATGCATATTCCCTATTCAAAGAACCAAAAGGGTCTATGAAAAGAAATAAATACCTAAATTGATATGCAACCAATCCAAGAACTAGACCAAACAGAAAGAAATTAATATATTAGTTGTAGACTTATTTAGAATTTTAGAATTTAAAATAGTCTTCTGCTCAAAACCGAGATGTTAGTTGTCAAGTAGCAATAAATAAGTAGATATAAAGTGAATTTCTAAAATTTAAAGAAACTGATAAATGTCAGTCAGTCAGTCCCTTAAACTAATCATGAAAAATAACAAAGTTAATATCTAAACAAAGAGAAAACTATTACGTACATGTACCAACTAGTACTGTCATATAGCTGTGAAACATGCCACTATCAAGTCTTTGTGATTGTAATCATCAACAGCCATTAATAGTCCCCTGCTGGACATAGGCCTCTATTTAGAAAGGAGGCTTTGGCCTACTATACCACGCTGACCAGATGGGTTGGTATAGTTTGTTTCAAGTTTTCCTTCTCTTTCATGTGCTGTTATCCAGCATAGTTTGCTCCCTTAATCGGCTCTTACAACACCCAGGGGATGAATAGGGGTGGTGACAATCCCTATTCTTAATCCATCACCACACGGACTAACAAGTCATACTCACACAAATTGGAAGTCTGGCAAAGATCTATGGAGAGAGCATTAAGAAAAGAGATAGATAAGTAACAAGGACATAGGACAAAAACCAAACTACAAAATGTAACAATTAAAAACTAAAGTGGAGATGGATGGTGGATAAGGCAAAACTAAGTAACACGATTTTGTAACTAGCCGAACAAAAAGTAGAAAATAATTGTCTATAGGTTCAATAAGAAAAAACATTTTATTGCAAAAATATGTGGGGTTCTCAAAAATAATTTTTTGACAGATATTGATAAAACTAAAATTATTATATTATAAAATATCTTAAAAACCACCCCACGCTTTTTTTACTCCAGTTATGGCTATAGGCCCGTAGTTGGACAGGTCAGAGCGGTCACTTTTTTAGGGATCGGGTGCACGAACGCTACCTTCCAGGAGTTCCAGACGACGCCTTTGGAGTAGGAGTCGAAAAAGGGCGAGTTAAAACCAGTGCCAACTCTGGAGCACACATTTTCAACACGAGAGGTGACATTCCATCGGACCCACTCGACTTATGAATGTTGAGGAAAAAGAGTGCTTTAAGCTCTCATTTTTGTATGAACCGGATTTCTGGCATATAGCTTTGGCATCGCAGTATGATCGGCGGTACGTTTCCAGAGCCGAATTGGATGCAAAGAGTTTGCCTAGGAGATTGGCTTTCTCCTTGGCATCATAGGCCAAGACCATCTGCAGGGGTGGAAGGGATTGGCTACAGAAATTCTCCTGGACAGTCTTGGCAAGAAACTAGAATGTACAAGGTCCAGAAGAAAATCTCACCAGTCTCACCGGTCTGGCTGATGCGGCCTGCCCTAATTTTGCCCTAGGAATAGCTTTTATACGATGAAATGATTTCTGTTTTAGTTTGGCTAGTTATAAAAGGGTTCCTTAGTTTTTTAAACTATAATTTATTTTTTATTCATTAATAATGATTATTTTCACACTAATACTAAAAAATAACAAGTATGTCACATATGCTTCATCACATGCCTCTAAGTACATAGCAAAAGACACTATGGACAAAGCCGCTAATCCTTAAGATCCTTATCAGGATAATTGGCCAGATTTATTAAATTATTGTATTGTCATCAGTACTTGATAAGTGTGTGACGTATATAATGAATTTGGTTGGCTATCATTGAAATTGAAAGAGGCTATGTTGAAGGACATAGGAGTTTTTTAAATGTTATATTTTTTATGTTAATAAATAAATAAATAAATCGTTAATTACTTCAAAATTTTACATGGTCAGGTAATAACAAATAATAATAACCTCACACATCAACAACATAAATAACAATAAATACATACATATTATAGATAAATTATACCCAGAACCTGAGTTCTGGGTATAATAACAAAACAACCGTGCTCATCACACAAATATTTGTCCTGTGTGGGAATCACTAACCACTAGACGAAGGAACCCGTCAAACAGATGACTTAATCTAGTGACATACATTTTACTGAGTGTAATATTTAAAATTAGGTTTTCTTATTTTTTTAAATATTAGCTCATGCCTTAGCGAATAACCTGGATTACTAACAAAACATTAATGAGTTTAAAAACTATTATGATGATACAAATAAATAAATAGGTATAAACTAACAATTAATTTTTTAAATCTTTTCAATAGTGTCTCAATTCAATTCAATAGAATCTAAGGTTTGTAATTATTTTTTATTAATATTCCTTGGGTCAGCCTGGCTGGCTAGCTAAGACTTCTAGGTGGTCCAACGCCTAGTGACTCTGTTGTTGACATGCGTGCCTATAATCGGACCGAAATGCGTTGCAAATCTAGTGTTAACAGGTAGCGTGGTCAATCTATAAGTTCTATACTTTGTGAGTGCATGGTAATTAATTTATGTAATTTTTTTGTGATTTTACTTTCACATTTGATCAACAAGCATCAATAAAAACAAAGCTATTAGAAATATTAAGTGTATAACAAAATCGGCTCTACACAATACAATTATTTTGGTGTAAAACAACACTACAGGTCTTTTTTCAGCAGTTTTTAGATAAAGGAATAAGACACTAAGAATGTTATGTCTTAGTTTTCATAGAACAAGCCTGTGTGCCAGAATGATAAATTGTCACATAAGATAACCATGCATTGGTTATTTATGAATTATTTAACTGAATAAAGGAGTACCTACATTTTTCAATATAATATTATGTATATTAAGTACATTCGAGTGACAAAAATGTTTTCCGTTTCAAACACAACCAATAAGTTAATGTGAACTTAAACTTGTCCTCATTGGCTGCACAAACTTATGACGCGTGAAGGAAAAGCCAAAAGATTTCTTAGATCTTTAAATCACAGCCAAGGCCAGTAAATACGATAAGTATTAAATGTTACAAGTAACTAACTTTTTGAGATTAAAAGTTCCACTTTAAGAATTCCTGTTTTTGAACGAAAATATTTATTGGTGCCATTTCTGACAGTCTAACGTTTCCCGCCAACAAACCAGGAGTATGCAAATGGGCATGGTATTTGCCATAAAATGTTTATATTATAATTTTAAGAAAATATATGTGCATACTCAACGCATAGCCAACATATTGCAAAGGAAACTGTAAAAATATCACTAAATCTATGCAAAAAATACAACAATAATACCGGCAAGGCTTTGTGGGATATACTCACCGATGTCAAACTTCCAGCACTAATTTTGACAATATTCTACACATAATCAATCATAAAACATATAACACGTTTGATCACAAAGGCTTTAACTTTAAATACCTTTTTATTTTCTCATTTGTTAAAGCAATAACACGGCTACAAAACAACGACAAATGCGAACACAAATAATGGCGTCCATCCGATGCATGCAGCGCGTGTCAATAGCGTAGTGTTGTAACCGTTACACGATGGGGACATTACACATTAGTATGAATCGTAATGTTGAATCCGTAGTTAGGTGAGTGATCTGTTGAGTACTTACTGAATGCTATGTTTGATTTTTATATATTATATATTATAAATCTGTGAATTTTATAACTATATTTTTACAATCAAACACCAGTCACCACGTGTTTTAGCCGCAGGTAAGGTGAGGAATAAATGCTGAACAGGAACAAAAATATATAGCAGACTTTAACTTACAAAAACAAAATCAGAAACAAGTAAATTTTAAATGAAAATTTTTCACCTACATCAAATCGTTAAAAATCGAACAGTCGTTGTAAAAACAATCTACTACGATATTGATCGAGATTGGGCATCCTTAATGTTTTGTATTTGTACCGTCTTGGTGCTTTTTGGGCTTGAAAGCGCTACATTTTGCAACAGGGCTGATTACATTTCGATTTCAAAATATTGCCGGCTTCGCGCTTTATTATATTTGTTAGTTAGACCTTCCTAATGGATATTAACAATCCTCACAACCAAAGTTATTGGTTTGTCCTTCGAGAAGATCAAAGCAATGTCATTTTTAGCAGCAATAATTTTACTATTCAAAATCCTCAAAGTAAGTTTATATAGTGATTCAATGAAACAAAAATTTTACTACATATTATTTCAAAGAAGTGAGCATAATTACAGCCTTATTATATAAGAACTTACAAAATAATAATTGTTGTAGTTTAGCCTAATGTTAATGACATAGTTTTTTCAATAACTTTGTGTTGTAGTTGCAGGAGCAGAAGCAAGATATATAGTAGATACCGGGGAACGACCGTACATACAAATTAATGGAGCACCTATAGTCGTTCAGGAAAGCGTGACGAATGAGTGTGATAAGGAAGTGACTAAGACCAAAGATGAAGATAAATTTTGGGATAGAAATAAAGTTAAATTGCTCCTAACATTATGCTTAGAGAATAGATACAGAAACGCCACCAAAGACAAATCTCTCTGGAACGAAATTGCAGCTCACCTCGGCGCAAGCTCTGATGAATGCAGTAAGAAGTACCGAAACCTCAGACGAACCTATGTAAGGCTCTTAAAAAAGAAAAGGTTGGGGAAAGAAATTAAATGGGTACATTATAACACATGTGAGGAAGTTTTCAAAGAATGTAAATCACTGCCAGCCTCAGTTCTTGAACCTTGGGAGGAACACAAAGTAAGAAGATTGCTCACTCTTTATATTGAAAATCTCAGCAAATTCAGGAGTTCAGATTATTTACAAAAAGACCTGTGGAAAGAAATAGCCTCCCAATTAGGCACAACAGACTATAACTGTTACCACAAGTTCAAAAATTTAAAAAGAGCTTATTTTAACTGGAAAGAGAGAAGTAGAGAAACTGGAAAACCAATGAAGTGGCCATACCACCATTATTTTGAAAGAATCTTTTATAATTACAATCCAAATGTAGGGCCCTGGGACAAGAATAAAACAAGGTTGTTAATAGATGCATACATGCAAATAGCTGACAAATTCAAAAACCCAAGATATCAGAAGAAAGAATTGTGGAAGGAGATATCTGACACTGTTGGAGAAGACCCCACAGATTGTGACAAGAAATTTCGAAATCTGAAACAAACTTATATAAGGTTAAAAATGAGAGAAGATTCAGGCAGATGTATTACAAAATGGCGATATTATAAAGACTTTGAAGCAATATATGGAGTACAATCCAGTTATACTAGCACTGATGATGGAACACTTAAAATGACATACAGAACTCAAGATGACAATTATGTAAAACAACTTTTATCTTTCTATGTTGACAACAAAGATAGATTCAAAGATCCGTTAGTGAAAAAGAAGAATATGTGGAGATTACTCGCACCGAAAATTGGCTTATCGTCAGAAGAATGTGATCGCAAGTTCCGCAACTTGAAACAAACATACCTCAGGCTGGCAGAAAAGAAAAAGGAAACTGGAAAGACAAACAACTGGCCATATTATTCTTATTTTGAAAAAATATACAATGAACCTGCAACGGGCTCAGGGAATATAAACAATAAAAATGTATGCCTAGATCATATTACAATGGCTAACATAAAAAGAATAGTACAAGAAGTTCAACACAGAAAAGATAATGATAAGTTTGAAATATTGGTCCAGTCCATAGAAGAATCTAACCACATACAAAGGGAACGAAATCGAATATTACAAGCATTGTTAGACAGACATTGACATTTGAAATTTAATTGTTTACACATCTTGCCTTATGTTGAGAGAGGTAATCTGTAAGAGAGTCAAACATAATATGAATTACCAATCCAATATAATATTAAATCAATTCTTGTCAAATCTGTGAGTTTGAAAAGTAGCATATAGCTGACCTGGGTGACCTGAATTAAAGGTGCGTTATAATTAAAGGCAACGGATGGTGTTGCCTTTAATTATAAATTATGTAAGCAGCATACTGACGTGCCCTTACTGTGCACGAGAGTTTACCACGAAGATTGGCTATGTCAGTCATTTTCGGTCGCATCAGCGTCGTCAAGCCGACTAAGAGTCGAAACAGTAGCCATGGCCGAAATCAGTCAAATCATTTATTTAATAAAGAAACCATTGCTTGTTTACATCACAATGTTAAAAATACAGATAAGCGATATCGCTTCTACATATTGTTTACTGCTTGATTTGCAATGCAAAAAATAGTCAGAAGGCTCTGGTGATCAAAACTGTTATCTATAGACTCAGGATCCTTAAGTTTGATTCTTCATTTTTTCTTAGAGCTCGTCTTAGCCGTATCATACTGCAGCTACTACCATCAATAAACAAAAATCAACTTTATTTCTGGATAGGGCAGCTGACTTGTGGACATGAAGCATTGTGAGCTGACGTTCGAAGAATTCACCTGAGGCCAATCCTCGTAATAAAAGTTCGGTCACAATTCAATAATCAGTTCGATCAATTCTCGATCTTGCAACTCTCATAGAAGGTATTTTCGTAGTAAAATAGTAAAGTATTACCAAGGAGAGAGAGAAGGAAAACTTGACACGAACCCTATACTAACCCGTCTGACCAGCATGGTGTAGTAGGCCAAAACCTCTTTTCTAAGGAGAGGCCTATGTCCAGCAGTGGACTAGTAAAGACTGTTGATGATGATGATTACTAAGACCAACAGATTCAATTTTCGGTTACAATACGATATAATCATATTACAGTTACCTTTGGATGTTTACTTTACTACGAAAATACCTTTTATGACAGTTGTGAGATCAAGAATTGATCGGCACCGAATTGTAATCGAACTTTTATTACGAGAATCGGTGTTCTGGTTGCGGAACCACAACATAACGAGCTAGTATTCCCCTTTTTTTTCCGTGCGGAAATCCCCTCGGATACCACCTATCATGTGGCATGTCCGACACGAACCGACTAAAACCGCACGCCGTCTCGGGTACTAATAGCCGGGAAACCAGGTATACCCTAGAAAGGAAGTAGCTAGTATCCCCCTAGAGAGAATAGACAGTAGAATCCTTATCAATACCAAAGCTATCGTGTCGGCAATCTATTTTCATAAATAAATTGATTTAAGTCGACACTGTTTCAACTTGAATTTGTTTCAATTTTCACTGGCAACATACAAGATTTTCTTTCTATTTGTCACCAGTGGCAATGAAGCCCGTTGTAATGACCTGGAATGTCTTATGCTATTTGACAATACTGGCAATATACGTTTTTTTTTTCATTTCTCACCAGTGGAAACTAATCCAGTCACCAGTGACAACTTATTGTCATGAGATATCACGAAGGCTTTAGAAAGAAAACTAGAATTCCTTTAATAGTGCAATTCCAGAAAAAGTTCTAATAATGATGCATCATTGTTCCGTGCCACCCGCACGGAACAATGAGTTCCTTAACAATAAGCACAAGATCGAAAACAGATGCACGCATTAAACAAGATGTCGTGCAATTATCTTGTTAAAATTTGAAACGAAATTGCATTTCTCAGAAATCGAAAGTTCTACTAAAGATTAAAATAAGCTGTAAAGAGCCTTCTAGACGTCTGGCGGGTGTTATAAATGCGGGCACGTTTTCGTCGGAGACGGCTCAGAGTTACAGTGCGATAAACATCGAAGCGAATGTAACTCAGCGACTTCGGCGATCATTCCGGACTTATTATTCAGTATTAGTTTGAACGTTTTTAAGTGTAGTAATAATAAAGTCTCTGAAGTCGTCAGAAGGATTATTATTCCAAATCAACGAACCCTAGCACGTAACAACATTATGGTTTTTTAGTCAGTTGTGACAACTGACTGGAAATGTAACCGCATTAGATCGGTCTTTTAAGTATATTCGAAGGTTGTAACACCAGTTTTCAATCGAGTGCTCTGTTTAATGTAACAACGTAACTTAACACTAATTCGCTAAACAGTTTCTAGAATAATCTAAAAAAAACATCATATTTGACAAATTGCCCTCAAAACAGTATCCTTAGCACTTTTTCTGATATTAAGATGATGCTGGCATTTTTTTTAAATGGGAAGGTAGTAGTAACATTCTGAACACTACACAGCGCTTGAGCCGTTCACGCACAGTGATGGTACCTCAATAACCCTAACCTGAGTAAAGCAGTTTCAGCTATAAAACATGTAGCCAGCTCCCCTCCCTATGGGGTAGGTCTAACGCCCCTTTAGATGCCGCGTTAATCTGTAAGAAGCGACCCTGACTGGACTTCTTTCCACTATTTAACGTTCGAATAAACAACATGAGACCGCGATAAAGGGGAATCAAAGTCTATATTATGAAATAATTAAATACATTGCTATTGATTGTGCTTTGCCTGTCATACTTCCATTCGTTGTGCGCTTAAGCTCAAAGTGAATCAATCAACTTCTACAACTGAATGTTCAAGGCCTCAAGGTCAGACACGTGAATACTGCTGGTCTAGTGTTGCATTAGCCCTTATGCTACCAGACACATCGCGTGCGCCGACGGCGGACTCGGACCGCTCGATCTCCGCCAGAGCATCAGCAGCGTCAGCGCTTTCCTGTAAGCCAACCACAGGATCCGCCCATTAAAATGCTCTTCACTCAACCACACGCATAAATAATCCACAATAACAGGTCACCGAAGAATAACCGTATGGCAATGACAGCGGCCTGGGTGTCAACCCTAGGTGGCCTCACCTCAGCTATAAATCGATTCACCACACTGAAGAGACCTATAAAGGGTCATTAATCATTATGTCATATTCAAGATATCTTAACCACTACCAAATGCGTAAGGAAATTTATCAGGGAAACTACATCTAATTACTCAACTATTACTACGTTACTCAGACCTTAATATAAATACGTATAATTATATAGTAATCCTACAAACATAATGAACAATAAAGACTCACCTAGCTGTCCTCTACGTTCTATATATTTAACTTACTCAAACTAGCTACAATACGCACGAACGAGCACGTTCATCATTGACGATCGACCTCCGTCTCTTAGCTCCTAAAACCCACTGCTCTGTTCTACGCCTCAAGACCAACTCCTCTTCTCATTCATTATCGTTCCCAAGGGACTCCTATCTAAGGGCCTTTACTCACACTTACTGGTCTGCTCTTTAACAGATGTGCTCTGTTTTATTGTTTTGGTGGACCCTTGGCGATCCCTTCTTTATGGTATTGATCTTAGGAACGCAATAAGTCCTTTATTTATAATGACCCGTCCCTCACTTTGCAATACTTGAGATCATAAAGTTGTCATTTTTATTAGGGTCTGTATTTTGTTCGTCTCGACCTCAATGCACTATTAGTAGTACTATCACAGCACTTAGCCGTTTTTTAAACAGGAAGTCCAACAGCAAGCTGATATTCGAAAATTGAAAATTCTTTGTAATTCCACTCATCTTCTACCTGGTACATTCCTTGAAATTCTAAACAAAATGAATCAGTGAACACTGTATCAAAATAAACAAACCCTATCGATAAAAGTTCGAATTTCATTATTTTAAACAGATTTTCAGTGTACGACGTCGTGTAATTCTGTATAGTAAGTATATAAGTTTAAGTATGTGTATAGTAATTTTGTCGTAATTTTGTCTATACACACCTTTTCTGAAGTCGGTCGAAGTTTCCAATTTTGACGATGTTGTTTCTTTTTTCGTTTACGTAGTTAATAATAATAATTTCACACACAGCACACATTTATTTCTCAATACACACATTTTAGTTAAAGTACACCTAGACTCACAGAACAAATGACCGTGCTCATCACACAATTATTTGATCTGGTGAAGCAGTCAGGGTCACTAACTACAAGACCAACAGGCCAGTCAGTTTCTTCTTGCTATTTATTGTACCCGACAGGCAGCTGCTCAGCGTTGGTGTCGGACATCTTATTTTATTTACATCTATCGATAAACAAAATCGTTTTCAATGGAAGAGTAGAACTCCCGTGCGACAATTTTGATTTAAACGTAAGAAATTTGACATTAAAATATTTCAAATGAAAATCATCATCATCATCAGCTTTTACTAGTCCACAGCTGGACATAGGCTTCTCCTTAAAAAGGAGGTTTTGGCCTATTATACCACTCTGGCCAGACGGGTTGGTTTAGGGTTTGTTTCAAGTTTTCCTTCTTTTTGCAGTGCTGTTCTCCTGCGTAGTTTATGTAATGTAAATGTTGTTGTTGAGGTAAATGGAAGTAATAAAAAGTAAATGAAGATATAAAAGTATTTTTACTTTGAAAATAATACTTATTATTGCTTTTATGCTTTTTATAGGCATCTATAAAAAAAAAAAACACTTTGTTTTTCAACAAGTTTGTTTCGCCTGGTTTTTTTATTTAACGGTTGGAGCCATTATCATTTTGCTTTGGTACTGGATACACAAGGTTTAGAATGGTCTGGGGGGGCTAAGGCGTTATTTATTTTTAGGTTTTGGCGGCAAACGTGCAGATGGATGACCTGATGGTAAGTGAATACCGTCGCCAATGCTGTCCCTCTCCCCAGAATTATGGGAAGGGTTTGGGCTCCGGTCTTTGGTCAATTGTGGGCTTCGGTTTCCGCATTTAGACTCAAGAGTGGTCCTTTATGCGTCGAGGACTGGTTAGCTAGGTGAGCTAACCAAGCTCCTTCCAGAAGCGCAGAAGCCTCCTGGGGCGTTCACAGGCTTCTAGGAGCGATTTTGTATCGGGAATATTATGATACTTGCCCGTTGTTTGGCCACACCTTCGCATTCCAGGATTACGTGGGCGGCTGTTTTTTCTGCTTCCAGACATCCCCTGCACAGAGGGCTGTCCGTCGCATTGATGATGAATAGTTGTCGGTTCAGGGCTAGATGTCCCGTTATAGTTCCGACAACTATTCGCATTTTCAGTCGGCTAAAACTGATCAATCTGTAGGTGATTCGTGGTGTGACTTGAGTGAGCACCAGTTTGGACTGTGTGCAGCCGGGTGAGTTTTTCCACCTCCGGTTATGTGCTTCATAAGTCCGTTGCCTGGCCCAGAATCGTATTTGATTAAACGGTATTGGCCAGTAGCTGGAGTTGCCGAACCCCTCCTTGCCATCTCATCTGCGGCATCGTTCCCGTGCGAGTTACTGTGCCCTTTCATCCGTTGGAGGAGTACCACATTTATCTTAAAGCTGCTCCAATGCTTGATGGCATTCGAAGACAATACCAGAGGTCATTGTGTTGCCCTCCAGTGCCGTTAGGACGGCCATGCTGTCGGATAGTATTCGGATGTTATAGTCCTTGATACCCCTTGTCATGGCCGTTGTGGCAGCGTAAGTTATTGCCACACATTCGCATTGGAATATGGAACTGTGTTGGCCTAACGCTAGTGATATGTTCATATTCAGGTCTTGGAGAAAACTCCGGCTCCAGTTCCTGACCTAGTCTTGGAACCGTCCGTGTAAATTCGGACTTCGGTTATGCCGGATTGATCTTGGTCATTTTCTTGTATCTGGATGTGGTCTCTTTTTGTGAAGATGTGGTGTTTTGGGATTCTATCGCATGGGGCTGCTATTAGTGATTCGTATTCCACCAATTGATCCCATAATTTGGAGTGCGAGCCTTCACTTTTACGAAATAGGCCCAGGAGGTGTCCGAGTCCAACGATCGCAATGGCGGCCTGCTGTATGAAACCGGTGGGCTCCGGTAACCACTCGATAAAAAGCAGTGAAGTACTTAACGTATCTTTTCTGTGTGGTCATCATATCACTCCAGTCGATTCGGGCTCTGCCACGGTTCGCTATCAGAAGGTATAGTAATAGTAACTTCAAGAGAAATGAAAATGAGAGATAAATAAAACATGTAGGAATGTTTAGAAATGCTTTTACTTTATTGTTACCGTTCTTATGCTTTTATAATGTATATGTACAAACAAACTATAATAGATTATCAGTTTTTCATTCTGAAGTGAGAAATCGTTAGCAAATTCAATTACATGTCGACCGGTAGCTACTTCATACAAAATTATCAATGTCTAAAGTACACTGATTATGCTTATTTATGTCTTAACTTAAAAATAAATCTGTGAATTAAAGACTTACTTTAATATTAAATTTGACATCCATAACACTATACCACAGTAAGGAATGGAAATTTAGTTAGAAAACAAAATACAAAAAATACAATGAAGTAATCACACTCGATCTTCGGAGACCGCCCGGGATCGGATCGATAAGCCTGCAGATACCTCGACCAGTAAGAACTATCACAAACAAATACTCTCCACACGCACTCACTCAGCCACGCTCGAGTCGATACAATACAATGCTAACCTAGATTGAATTACCACACTATGTAGTTACAATTAAGATGGCCGCGCGCCGCCCGCTCTCACGCACTCGTTACTGGGCTTGCAGATAACGAAACTAAACCTCCAAAACGACACTGTACCGCGTACCTAACGAGCTGGTCGAGGACGTACTCAGTCTTAAATGGGAATTGGTCTCGGACGCAGGACGCGGAGCGGGCGGCGGGCGGCGCGGTCCGCAGCCCTTCACTTCTTAGCGTTCTTCTTGGGCGAAGGAGCCTTGCCTTTGGCGTTGTTTGACATTTTCGACTTCTTGCCTTTGGGCTCACCCTCCTCGTCGTCTTCATCCTGTAATGGCGATCATACCGTTATATATCTGTAGCATGTGATACACGATTTGAAGTGAACAGATTTATCCTCAAGCAAAGAAGGCCAAACATGTGAGGTACTGTAATGGGTGACCTGGGTTTCACACGAGGACCTTTTTTGCTTAATTGATCAGTGCTATCAGAAGGTAAAGGGACATTGAATGAGTACAGAAAACCAACAGCCAATAATCATTACATTTTCAAAGCAAATAATTTTGTCACCAAAGTTTTAGTTTTTAGTGCCCAGATGTGTAAAAATGACAGTGAAAATGAACTATTAAAGAGAGAACATTAAAGAAGTTGCAGACTCATCAATATAAAGTTTGAATTGAACTGTCATTGTTGAACATGACTGGGTATCAGGTCCTTTTCCCTCTGTTGCGCCTGTTTGGAACCTGTCATATGTAATTTTGTATTAGTTGAAGGTTTTCAGTACCTCATTCGTCTTGCGCTTGCCTGATGTTTTCCTTTTATGCTCATCTTCCTGGAAAGTCAGCAATCTTATGTAGACTTCATCATATTGAGATAATAATTAGTAAAGCAAATGAAATATCTATATCATGAATCGTGACTACACTTCACAAACTAAGGTTACCTTAATATAATTTATGATAGGCAAGAAATACCATTAATATTTATCCAGAAACAGACTACATTGAGATGCAATAAAATTTTCTTACTTTGAACTGAGAATCATCGCCTTCCTCCTCATCAAGCATCTCCTCTTCCATTTCCTCCATGTCTTCGAACTCTTCAACCAAAGCGCCCAGCAGGTGTTGTCCAATCAAGTGCACAGGTCCTGAACCCTGAAGATAAAAACACAAAAGCCATGTACACATTGGATGTTAATTCAGTACAATGTAACAAGACATGATAAATCAGACAAATGCCTCAAAACCATCACAATTAGGCAATGCAACAGTCAGAACGACGCTGCACACCCATCAGTATTACCAAGGGTAATAGATGCTCATCATACAAATTTATAGACAAGGAATTATTAGAAACTAGTAAACAGTAATAAGAATTTTTTTGTTAATTTTCCTCAAATTATAGAGAAATAATGAATACTATGGTCAGTAGTTCCACAAGTAGTAAAACATAGTTTCTTTTACATACCTGTACTAAAGTAAATGTGACTGGTGCATCTGGGAACTCAATATCAAGACGTGCATGTCTCTGTTCTCCTGCCTTCAGGACTGCCACGGGGATCTTGATTGATTCTTGCAGTGACATGGTTTCAACCTAAATAAAAAATAAAAATTTAATCAACAGAAATATTTTTGCATTTATTCTTATAAATTAATTTCTTTGGTGTAACTTTTATTCTTTAAGTGATCAAGATATTGAATAATTTGACGATGGGCTTTTTGTATGTAGTTTTAGGAACAATATTATTTGTGTTTTAGAGAAGATTTTTAGAAAGTGTAAATTTTAAACTTTAGTATTGGTGAAAATAATTGATTATTTCTGATGTATAACTCAATGTTGTGAAATACTTGAAGCTTTTATTAGTAAGGTATGGAACTTTATCACTTCTGATTGTGATTTATGATAATTTTTATTATGAAACGTCTATTGTACCTGAACAATTAACAGTTTTAAGTTATAGAAAATTATGTGTTGATCAGACAAATGCCTCAAACTATCACAATTGGGCAGTGCAACAGTCAAAACGACATCACACACCCATCAATAAAAGTTGTAGAAAATTATCATCACTTCAACACATTGCATTCATTACTCAACTCATCATTTAAGAGCTACTACTTTATTTATAAAGAAATTGAAGAATTGTTTGTTACTGAATCATTGATTATCTGTGAAGCAATCCATTATAGAGCACATTGTTATAACTTTAAACGTAATTGAAATCCCACCTGAACAACATTTAGTTCATCTGCTTTAGCGTCAGGGCCCAGGAGTGCCTGGCGAATAAGCAGCTTGTTGCTGCGTGGGTACTCCGCTTTTGCCTCGGGATCCCATGTTTCAGACTGGTGTGAAGAAGACAAGGTAACACCTGAAAGAACCCAACAGAATATCAGTACGCATATACTCAAACGTTCGTATACTTCTCAGTTTTAATTTGTAATCATAACCTCCAAATGGCAGTAAGGCCTACAAAGGAGAACATAAACAAAAGCAGTGCAGCGGCAGACGCCTGCTAATACCGGCTCGCCAAATTGTTTATCCCTGTCATCGACTAGCGGCTTGGACGCCTCAGATTTGAATTGCGCGCCCAATATCCACTGTCTTCGCAAATTACCAACGCATCATGCGTGAGCAAAAAATCAATAGGAAGCATCACGTGTAAGCCGAACGATAAATAAGCCTCAAAAGCGCCATTACAATTTCATAGAAGGAAACTGACCATTTCGATTTCTCGATCGAAAATGGCGGCAAGTCGGTTAGAAGCTACAGATACCATTTATTTCTAATTAATAATTAATGACAGGGAATGTAAACCCGTAACAACACTTCACTAAAAGGTTTTAACAATATCAAACACAATTTGAGAAATAAAATGGCGAGTGCCGGGTGTCAAAGCTTGACGCTATATTGTAGACATATTTGGGTACAAAGTACTGTCACAATTAGATAAATACAATATTTAAATAACACATAATTATATCAAGATTAATACGTACCATAGAAATATTCGTCCGACATGGTGATTTTACTAATTTATTGAGATTTTTGCGACACGTTCACGTGCGATGCCGGCACACACAAATCTGGAGTTGAGTGTTGCCAACAATAGTTTCCAATTTGCAATATTACGAATTCACACCCCCTGACCAGACAACGCCACCGCGCCCTCCTCTGTTTATTACTATCCCCACTCCACCCATAAAGTTTAAGAAAGATGTACAAATTTATTTTGTGAATGTCTCAAACTATTCTTCAGTATATATCGCAATACTTCAGTAATTTTTTTTCATACATATGATCTTAATTTATACCTATAGTAGATGTTGTTTTAACATGTTATTGTACATCTCTCATTTAAAAGTCAAAATACTTACCTTAACGACTTTTAAGTGCACACATCTTTATCAAACATTTCTAAACAAGTTAAGTACTTACTAGTTTGAAAAGAAAAATGTAAGTCACATAGTAATGATAGCGTCTTCACTAAAAAATCATACAACTAATAGCAGATTTTTAAGATTTTGGTAACAATACAATCTTAAGTTATAATTTAAATTAGAAATAAAATTCAGTCAGTTTAAATTTTTCGAACTCAAGTCTTAGACATAGATTAAAGCAAATAACGTTATATCCTTTTCTTTCTTTCTTTTTCTTTTAAAAAAGACAACTCCTGCATTAGGAAAATAGCCTGTATCGCGGGGGACTTTACAAACACACCCACACACTTTTGTCCCAGACAGGGACACAAAGAACACCTAGACTCCGTGCGTCAATATTAACGGCTAGTTCACAATAAATCGTTGACAATTTACACAATCATATTAAGTGGAGTCTGTTATCTCTTGAAAATAAACTAAATAAGAGAATTAAGTAATTTGCTGTTGGCTTTATTTAGTACTTTAACGTTGACCTTTAAGGAGCCTAATAACTGAATTATAAAACTTTTATTTAATATTTTTGAAATATTTGGACTTTTACAAGTGTGGAAGGTAAATTTTGCTAACGTTGGGTACAGCATAGACATAATTATATGAAATTAACTAATCTGAAAATGAGTGCCTCTACGTGTCTCATCGTAAATGTTCTTGTTTCGAAGTACTGAAAATAAAGACTGAGTATTTTGAAATTTAAGATTTTTTTCTAAAAATGGTGTCCTAGTGTTAAGCGATAAAATAATAGGCTAATAGTCCTTAAACAATCAAATGATATTAATGAAGCTGTCAGACAGTTGTAATGTACTAATTAACATATAGTTATGACACAGTCATTATCAAGCCCCGTATACTGTCTAAACCAACATTTCTCCGATACAAGATATTAAAAAAAATTATGAATGAACCTCCTCTACGATCTTTGGATTCATAGAAATAATTGATATGACTTAGAATCCCAGAAACAATATCTCCAATTTATTAATAAAGAAAGTTGGCGGCCGTCTCGTTGTCGCTGAACCAAATATAAAGCTGAGTTGCAGCTTCCCTTATATTTGGGATATTTATAGTTTGTACAGCTGGCAACATTATTTTGAAAGTTCATTTCATAGACAACGTTTAAGCGTACTGAAAATTTCTCTCAACTTGCACTGCTTTTGGTAATTAAGTAGATCTTCATGAATAATACCAAATAAATGTCAATTTTCTCTTTTACATGTACTCTATGCGTAATAGTCTAAACAAATAAAAAATACTGTAGTATCTGTTTGTTATTACAATAACAGCTTTTTACTTTACACAAACTATATTGTTACGGTGTTTGCCCTTTTCACTTGAATACTCTGGGTAAATCTTCCAGGGGATAGTACAACACTCACTATTCCACTTCGACCTCCAGGGGATTACACAACAATCAACATTCCAATTGATCCTCTTTTTTTTCTGTGCCGGACTTCCCTCGGATATCACCTAAACCTAGGTGTACCCTAGGAAGGAAATCAATGGTACTCCGGGTCATCTACGACTTGTAAATGAACCCTCGTGTGACCGAACCGCGATGTTCCAATAAATCCAATAAATTAAACTATTTTTAATAAACTTTTTGTTTTTGGTTTCCAAGGAATGTGGAGGTAACACCCAAATACTCCAAAATATTTTATTCACCTAAGAATTTCATTATATCTAAGAATTATAATGTCTATTATTAAAATTCACGTTTATTTTACGGAAAGTCGTAAATGCGATTTGTTTGTTTTCCGATTTTTATACGTTCGAAGAATCAAATGTTCGATGTTTGACGGGCCTGTTGGTCTAGTGGTTAGTGACCCTGACTGCTAAGCCGCAGGTCGTGGGTTCGATTCCCACCCAGGACAAATAATTGTGTGATGAGCACGATCATTTGTTCTGTGTCTGGGTGTAATTTATCTATATTATGTATGTATTTAGAAATATATAAGTATGTTTATCAGCAGTCTGATTACCATAGTACAGGCTCTGCCTAGTTTGGGATCAGACGGCCGTGTGTGAGATGTGTGAAATTATTATTATTATTCTCTTTATTTACTTTATATACATATTATTTACATTTTTAAATATACACTTTATAAAAAAAAATACATTTAAAAATATAAAAAATAGTAGACCACCGACATCGGGTACAGGGACCAAGACACCGGTGGTTAGGACTCCAAAGATAGGAACCTCCTCACTATACGAGCCGTGTCAAGGAGGACTGCCTTCTGCATCAGACCCTTGATCCAGCCATCCAACGTGAGCCTCTTAAGGTGTTGGTCGAGGCTCTTGGCTATCAATCCATGAGCAGATACGACTATCGGAACAATGATCACTGAATCAACATTCCACATATCGACAATCTCGTGAGATAAATCCAAATATTTAATTTGTTTTTCTTTTTCAACTTTCACGAGATTCTCGTCATGAGGAACGGCGATATCAACAATCATTGCGCGGCGCTCTAATCGATCTATCAACACAATATCAGGCTTATTGGCAACAATAGTCCTGTCTGTGATAATAGATCGATCCCAATACAACGTGGCCCGACCATTCTCGAGAACTGGGTCGGGCACATACCTATAGTATGGCACCTCTAGATTCACAAGATGGTATTTAAGGGCAAGCTGTTGGTGTACGATCCTGGCTACTTGGTTGTGCCTGTGCAAATATTCTCCGTTAGCAAGACGAGAACAACCAGAAATAATATGCCTGATTGATTCGCCAGGACGGTGGCATGCCCGACAGATGTCAACCGTACCATCTTTCAGGATATATTTCCGATAGTTATTCGTCATGATAACTTCGTCCATAATCGCACAAACAAAACCTTCAGTTTCTCCAAAGAGATCACCATGCCGTAGCCAAGTCGTAGATGCTTTTAAATCTACATCGGACCCGTTTAGGGCCCGATAAAACCGACCATGGAGCTCTTTGCCCTTCCATACTTCCCTGCGATCATTAACACCAAGTACTACAGGTCTGCGCCAATTCTCTTTAGCCAGAGCGAGCGGGGTGAAGCCGGTATCCACTGCAACTACATTGCGATGCACTCCCACGTCAGTATGTAGAAAATATTCTCTGAGATTGCATACCTCGCGATTATGTAGGGTCTTGATATTTAATAGACCGCGACCCCCAAGCTTTCGCGGGATATACAATCTCATAACTGATGAACGTGGGTGGTGCATTCGGGATGCAGTCAGCAGTGTGCGGACTTTCCTGTCAAGGGCATCTAATTCGGTCTGAGTCCATCTAAGTATACCAAAGGAATACATTAGAACCGGCATGACCCAACCATTGCAGGCTCGCACCTTGTTGGCCCCTGATAAAAGACTTTTAAGTACTTTTTTCAAGCGGCCAAAAAAGCGTTCCTGCAATGTTTGTTTCATGTTAGATTCTGGTATTCCCAACGACTGTGATATACCCAGATACTTGTAAGTTTCAGTGGCAGACAGAGATCTGAGTTTTGTTGAATCCAAAAGCTCTATTCCTTCAGATTCAACTATCACACCCTTCTTTACATACATGACTGCACACTTGTCTACACCAAATTCCATTTTGATAGAATTACTAAAGTTTTCCGTCACCTTTAGTAACTTTGTCAATTGTAATTTGTTGGAGGCTAACAGTTTCAAATCATCCATATAAAGAAGGTGAGATATAACTTGATCATCTTTCTGCAACCTATAGCCTAACCCTGAACCCTCTAATAAAGTGCTAAGAGGGTTCAAAGCCAGACAAAACCACAAGGGACTCAGACTATCACCTTGAAATATACCCCGCTCGATCTTTATTAGTACATCGTGTATCGCTGTCTGCCGACATCCTGGATAGCGAAGTGCCGTTCTCCATTGCCCCATACATGACTTCAAGAAAGTGCACAGAGTTGTATCAATTTTATACAACTCCAGCACCTTCAAAAGCCATGTGTGTTGAACCGAGTCATAAGCCTTCTTATAATCTATCCAACACGTCGCCAAACTCTTACGATTACAACGTACCTGTTGGCTAATGGTCATGTCTATGATAAGGAGGTCTTTAGTGCCACGGGTCCCACTTCTACATCCATTCTGAGAAACTGACATAATCGAATTATTATTAATATGTAAAGTAATTTTGAGTCTCAGAATAGATGTTAGAAGTTTATACATGGTAGGTAAACATGTAATAGGTCGAAAATTTTTGGGATCCATGACACTACCAGACTTATAGAGTAAGTGGGTTATGCCAGTGGTTAAAAATTGGGGTAATGAACCCGAATCCAAAGCTGCCTGGAATTGAGATGCCAAACGCGCATGTGAGCTTCGGAACCACTTAAGCCAAAAGTTGTGCAGTCCGTCTGGACCAGGTGATTTCCAATTCGGTAATGAACGAACTGCACAACTTACATCATCTTTATCAATTTTAACAGGTTCCATAGGTGTTATACACTCACATGAGCGTCTGACATCCTGCAACCAATCACCTTCTATATGAGTGACAGGCACCGACCAGATGTTACGCCAAAATGTATTTGTGACATTTTCATCTGGCAAATGCCTATCACCCACACATGGATCCGGTTCCTCCCATTTCCGGTACACCCACTTCTCATTTCTTTGGAACATCCGATTCTGATTATACCGATCTATTCGTTTTTTATACCGTCTTATCCTATTTGCCCATGCATAAATTTTCTGCTTTAGAAAGTCTATGCGCTCTGTGACACATGACATGTACTGCTGAGGACTAATGGTAGTCCCCAAGAATGCCTGTTTCACAAAGCGCATCACTCTCGGCCGCATATTCCCTGATCGGTAGCTAATAAGCTTACCGATGAGTGTCCTGGTCTCAGTAATACGACGTTCAATTCTATACTGCCAAGCTGGTACAGTAGATTTAGGTCGAGTAGTAGTGACATTGTTAGCTATTTTAACACCAGCTACTCGACAAACTGCAATAGCCGCACAATATAGAATAGAATGTGTATCACTAAGATCTTCGCTATTATCTAAATATTCAGGCAATAACGAATCCAGGGCACCCACCAGCGCTAAATTTCGTTTATGAATGGGCAAACGGAATAACCGGGGCCTATCATTGCAATTTAAATATCGGTATTCCAGAATCGCATCCTCCAAAGCACTCCTTATCCTATTATTGTATTGGGTACTTACGGATATAACTTCACTCTCCACTAGTTCATCAATATCATCAGTATATGATGCCAACTGAGGTGTGCTGTTGGCTACCGAATCCACAATGTGTGACGAAGAAGGGATAATTAAGCTATTCCGTATGTCAGAGCGTATCCTCTCAAGTACTGCATCATCCAGCAGATGACAGCGCTGTATAGCTCGTACTTGATCCGACAATCGTTGTGCTGATACGTTGACAGCTGGTTCAAGCTCCTGAAACAAAGAGACTAGTCGAACACGGTACGCAGTAAGGTTCGTTCCCACCTCTGTAGCCCGATAATATGCCCGCATGACATTTTCATTAATAGACTTTGTCCACTTCATGCGGCGCACATCACCACCGGTAGCGGGGACCCTGTTCGAGGTCAGTAGTCCTCGGGATCCCAAGCTGGTCGGTGGCCGGCCTCTCCCCTGCCGACGTACAGGTGTTGGCGACGTCGGCGGAGAGAAAAACTCGTCGCTTGAAGTTGAGCTCGACGCCTCAGCCACGGCCGGAACTTCTGTTGTAGCTTCCGGGGACGGCAAGACGGAGCGGAGCGACGAGTCCGGGGATGTTGTCAGTGCTCTGGATCTAGCTCGGGTTAACATTTTCTAGTCGAATTTCTAATTTCTTTCATTTTCAATATTTTTTGTATTTTGACATGACGTTAAACGTCATGTCTTACTATCAACATATATCTATATATATTATTTATTTAAAACGGTTTTGTGTTATATTTTTATAAAAAGGATCCATTTCAATACAGTTTAATAGCTTTTAATGATTGTACGGGATTGTAAATGTATAGAAAACTTGTTTTAAACGTTAATAAAATAACAACTTACTTTCATACTCGGGTACACTACAGAAAAAAAAATTTTACTATTTTATTATTATTATTATTATTATTCTCAATCCGGAAAAAGATATTTCGATTTTCATAACTTCGAATAAATGGCTAAAATTACGATCTGAATTCTGATTTAGTAAGTATAATATTTAGTTCCACATATATATTCAAAATCTTTAAGTAACGTTTAAAGTAATTTAAAAACGTGTACTTTGTAACTGTTACTTTTTTTTGTTTTCTTCTTCTCCTTATACCTGCGTCGCGTATCATCCACTGTTATTGAATTATTTATTGGTTAGGTTAGAACAGTGGCGATTAACGCCAGATACTCTCTATTATTGGTGAATCATTTGAGTTAGGTTAGGTTAGAACTGTGACCATGCCGCCGAGCGCTAGATCCGCTATATTGTTGGTAACTGGTAAATTTTAGATGATGAAGTATCATTAAGTCGGACATTTCGTTATTCGATCTATTGTAACTCGGTATTTTAAGCATAGTAGTTAAAAATGTTAGGTTTTTTTTTTGAATTATATAAATAGGATGAATGATAAATCGGAGTTGTTTTATTCGGAATTTTGAAAATCGGTATGTTGAAATTCGTATGTGACTTACGGAATAAAGTTTTTCGTATTTCTGTAGTGTACCCGAGTATGAAAGTAAGTTGTTATTTTATTATTTTTAGTGGAGACTAAGCAGGAAAATATATTTATTAGTACTTGTTGGGTCCCCAGCACAGTTAATCAAAGGATTGAGTCAGGGGATTCAAGTGGAAAGAGCGAGTGTTTGTAATCCATAATATCTATTTGAAAAACAATTGCGTATCTCGAAATCTTTTTATGTATGCAGACCTATATTAGTAGATTTGCACTAAAGGTGCTTTACTTTTGCGTTTTAAGTAGACGTAAATGAGCGCCGATGGGCGATGATACCTTTTTAATGCGTGCCATCAAACACAAAGATCAGGTGCTTATGCCCAATGAGAATAAATCTCAAATGTCATACTGTTACCTAATCCTCTATCATAATTAAACTCTATATCGCGCTCTTACCTATATTATTGGTTAAAAAGTTTTATTGTTGTTAACCAATCCCAAAACGTATTGTGATTTACTTTTAATTGGGTACATTTTTCAGTTAGGTAGTTAAGTTACTTAGGTCCTAGTATGTATGTAGGTGTTTCTAATCAAGCAGCAGCAGAAATACACTACATATATATTTAAAGTTATGATAAGCAGTAGTGGAGTACCATAAGGTGTTCACACAAACCGCATACTCATGTATAGGGCTATGTAGGCAAATCAGTGAACATCGCGCATGCATCAATAACTTATTGCAACTTCTTTTTTAGTCCACTTTTGTGGTTAATTCTGTATTGCTTTTCGTAAGAAATAAAACTATAAATAAAGTTTCCTTTAGGTTACTAATATTCCAAATTCACTTAAGTTCCTTCTTACGATACAAGAATCTGACGCAGACCTGTAAAAAGTGCCTCGAATGTTAGGTGACAATGTTCGATGAATATGTTTAAAATTCTTGTTTTTAGGACCATCATGATTAGGAAGCGATTTTAACTTCGAATGAATTGGACGACGGCGACCTTCCAGCACCATTCCGATAACGGTTTTCACTTTTCCGTCAGATTTAATCCCAAGTTTGGCTGATGTGTTCACTGGTAGTTCTACTGAACTAGATTTATCACATTGATCGTGACCGTGATCTTGTTGTGGGATCTCAGGTGAATCTTTGACTGATTGATAAATTTTAAGTTGTGTATTTTCATAATGTAGGTTAGCGTTTATTTGTAAGAGATTTAAATATTTTTTGCTGTTCGGTGACACTGTGGAACTCTTGAGCAAATTATCTAGAAGAATATCCAAAGTTTTTCTGTTGTCTTGTAATAGAAAAATAATTTTCTCGCATGTCTGTAAAATAAATTTACTTAACATGTTTAGGGACCTACATGCAGGAATAATACATAGAGACAGGTGTCGTGCGATGCAAGATTAAACAAAGAGAGATAAACAGTATTTTACCAACGGTTTATCTGGGATCATTCAGTAAAATATTGATTTTCTTCCTTTTACTATACTATATTATGTTAACTTGAAAAGAGCAAATAGAATACCTTCTTGTTTTGAACCTGTAACTTCTCAAGCTTCTTTTGAAGAAGTGTCTTGCTTGATTTAATTTTCATATACTTAATACCAATATTATAAATAACTTCATCCTTAGACTTTAAATCATCCAATAATTGTTTGTCGTGATCACAATGACCCTAAATAATAAATCATATCAGAGACTACTTTTAGAGTAATTAAAGAACAAACACAGATCGGGTATCGACTCGATTATTGATTAAGAATTACACATTTTGTTTTCTTATTTATGATAAAAACTGTAAGTGTACTATAATTTTTTTAAATAGTAATTATCCCAGATGATTACCAGTATCTGAAGCATGCATGCATGTAGTGTAACGGTGATCGTACATATGGATTTATATTACATACAAAATAAGAAAATAATGTTTACTACATTGTTATGGTTTAAATTCTAAAAAATCATACTAACATCTTCGTTTTGTTGACACTTCATCTCATTTTCATTTTGTTTTGAAAGTCTCTTAATCTCGTTTATTAGAAACTCCTTTTCCTTAGAATGAATATCCCTAAAAAGCGAATGGTAAATAAATTCTGAGTTTCTTTAAACGGTAAACGACTTGTTATGCGAATGTATTGGATCGAGAGGCGGCTTCAACTTGGTTCATTTTTGATCCAGACAATCATTTTTTTTTCTTAACTACCACTTTAAACTCTACAATTTGACGTAGGTTTGATCATTATAAGTATGGACCAAGTAATCATGTGAATTTTGCAATAAAAAAATACTTCCTCCACTCCTGGGGTCATACGGCATATGGGCAATCATGGCGCTTTTCTATACTAATATTATAAAGCTGAAGAGTTTGTTTGTTTGTTTGTTTGAACGCGCTAATCTCAGGAACTACTGGTCCGATTTGAAAAATTCTTTCAGTGTTAGATAGCCCATTTATCGAGGAAGGCTATAGGCTATATATCATCACGCTAAGACCAATAGGAGCGGAGCACCAATGAAGAATGTTTCAAAAACGGAGAAAAATTATTACTATTGAGAGACGCAGACGAAGTTGCGCGGGTCAGCTAGTTCTTTAATAACATAAATACCATCGTTCCTGATGGTTTTCATAAATACAACAAATATGTATGTGATACCCTGGAAATTTTGCGGCTGCCTGTCGGTCTATATGATGAATGATGACATAAACAAAAAATTCAAAATTTTACCTTTCATCTACTAGTTGCTGATGCAAATTTCTGTTAGTTCTTTGTGCACTTTTTAATTCAATGTAAATTTTTTCCTTTTCACGAGCTAAAGTACCAATAGCTGCGTCTCGGCTTTCAACAGAAACTTTCAGAGAATCGATATTCTGCTTCAGCAACTCTATTTCACTTTGTAATTTGGAAACTTCTTCTGAATGAGTTAAGCTTTTCCCTGAAGAAGCAGATCTCAAAGAACTTTTCGACAAAATACCTCTAAAATTCATCCGAAATCATATATTGTATTTTAAACTTATACTAAATCATATTAAATAATTGAAACTCGAATTCAAAAACAATTTTTTGTTTACATATGTGGATTAAAATTGTACCAAAATTTTGTCATTTACTTATGCAAATGACAAGTTAGTTTTGTCATTGGTGAGCTGAAGAAATAAAGTAAAGATTTTTCAGTGACTTATTTGTAACATTTCAAAATGTTATAAATAGTTTTGAGAAAACCAAAGACAATTTATTAATACTTTCATTAGTGTAGCCATTTTGAATAAAATTTCTAACTTAACTTTGATTGGCTGTTTTATAAAAAGATAGGTTACTATTGGCTGAAAATAAATTTTGTTTAAAACATTTTTTTCTCGTAACCAATAGCATGGCATTTAGAAGAAATTTGACACACGTTTTATGAGCCATCTCGTTTCAAGGAATGACACCAAAATTGACACAAAATTTGTCAAAATACCGTATAAACATAATTGCCTTTATCCCCATTGTTTCTTTTATGTTTTCTTCCGTCTCCCCCTGGTTTATTTTCTCCATCGTTTGGCAAGAATCACGAACAACACTTGTAATTTGATCGGCACATCATCAGAACAGAGTGAGTAAATGGTATCTGTCTAGTAGTCTTGACCTTATGCCATCGCCAGTCTTGATGTTTTATGTTGTGTAACGACGCCAAATTTCGAAGCAGAACGATGCCAAGTTTCGTATCAACAACCTCGATTCTATAATAAATTAAACACGCATTCAGTGATAAGGTGTCGCGAACTGTCAATGATACCAAAATGAAATAGTTCAAGTGAAATGATTTACGCTCCTTTCTATTTAACAAAGCGCGACTTACGTCAAGCTATATGTCCTCGTCGCTCCTTTTATATCAATTATAATCCTTTTTAGGTGACAGAAAACTATCGAAGGCGCACGTACTAAACCAACAAACGAGCAAGCGTTCACCTGTGTAAACACAAGTCAAGCAATATCATAGAATCTCGTATAATGAGAACCTCATAGTAGTGAATCGTGAAGTGTAGTCAGTGAAGTTGATTTCTCAATGTTATAATTGATGGTACAATGAGTGAGGAGGTGCAGAATGACGGGAGTACGAAGCCCGCGCCGTTGGAACGTGAATCCGCCACCCCCGTCGCCGCCGCGCCACCAGTGCACCCAGCACCCGCGCCGCCCGACCATCATGACGCCTCCACTAATGTGTCACAAACAAGCATCACCCAGGTAAACACTCTACATCATTTTAGCAACAAATATCACTTTATAATGCACACTAGATATGAATGACCGACTCCATGTAGGTTTTATCAGTTTATCAGTAGTGTAGTAGTAGTATTCAGTCATTGTTCCTCCATATTACAGATGAGACAGAAATTGTTAATTTGATAAACAAACTATTGTTTACCATTATTCACACCCTTCATAATATTATTTAAATTTAAATATTTTTTATTGTTTAAGTAAGTTTGTAAGAAACAAATGCTGTGGAACAGCGTAGTCTTCTAATACAAGCATTATTTGCTTAAATAGCAAATAATGCTTGTAACATAACATAACATAGACGGGCAATCTTTTTGTAATGTGTACTAATAACACTATACAATATATACAGTGTACTAATTACACTAAAAAATTTCTTAATTTGTATGGTGTATTAAACTCATTTCACGAATGCCAGTATGTATATCATATTTTACAAGAGTTAGTTGAAGCTATTGCAGTGTAACATTTCCTAATCAACTGTATTCATTGATGACCAAATGTACCCCTTTGACTGCCAACACATCAGTAAAAAGGCATTACCTTTGCAGTCTGTGACTAAAGCTCAAAATGATGCAACACAATATGAAGTGAATACATAAACTAATTTTTGTGTGAAAAAGAATGTTATTTATGTTTGTCATAATTGTGTGACAATGGTGCTAATTCTGTTGTTTGAAAACTCTCTAAACTAAAAATCACAAAAAAAAATTTTTGTCCTGTCAAATATTACGTTTTCAGAATAGGAAACGTTTTTTGACAGAACTAAACAAATTTTTAGTGATTTTTAGTTTAGTTTAGAGAGTTTTCAAACAACAGAATTAGCAGCAATAGCTTCCAACTATCAAGATTTGTTAGCTGTGAAAATGTTTCATCAACATATTATGTTATGTAAAATGTTATAGTTAGTGATTATTTGCATGCACAGAAAAATATTTTTATGTATTGATAGTAGGAGTTGCTCAGAGGTCATGTTAGTTTACACCTCGTCATTTTAATTATATTCCTGAACACTGCCTTGTCACATTGTTTATGTGTAGGTGTATTAGGTACATCCTCTTTTATCTATGTACATGCTATTTGTTAGTATAGTCTCCATGTATTAAATATACTTTTCTATCAGTATTTTATGAAGTAGGTTAATATTTTTTATAGAAGAGGTTAATATACTAATATTGCATTAACAATCACATGACCCAGTTGTTGGTGAGTAATCCAAGACAAGTATTTTCATTTCCACAACAGTCCAAGCGGTGGAGATCTTTTTTCTCAATATTTCAATTTATCAATCATCATCAACAGCCTTTACTAGTCCACTTCTGGACATAGGCCTCTCCTTAGTAAGGATGTTTTAGCCTACTGTACCACCCATTAGCCCAGCCATGCTAGCCAGATGGATTGGTATAGGGTTTATTTCGAGATTATTTCTCTTTGCAGTGCTGTTGTCCTGCTTAATTTCCCATCTCTTTAAGCAACAGTAGAGAAAGGTACAGGAAGGGAAGCCGTACAGTGGCTACTTGTATGCAGCTCAGTAGTAGTAAGCGCATACATGTAGTCCAACTACATGTCTGACTATAATGTAATGTGCTCGTGATACCCATTATAAATGGATTAAAGATGACAGCTATAGAAAATTAAATGTTATTGGATGGGATCTGTAAAAAGTTCATTCATGCTCATTAAAAGCCACATAATGGGCTACAATTACTATGGTTAAGTAAATACATATAATTTGAGATGTGTATATGCAACCAGATAGACTTTCATGAAACCATTTATTAAAATATAAGCTAGCTAAACTTCCTATAGATGTACCCTGGAGCTGAATGAATATATTTAATGTATAGAACAGAACTAAAGGTTACTGCAATGTTTCAGATGACAGCAAGCTCAGTCCCGGTTGGCGAAAGCTCCAAATGGTGTTGTGAAGTTTGCACGTACGAGAACTTCCCACTCTCTCGAAGGGTATGTATCTAGTCTAACAAAATAAATATTAGTTGAAACTACAACATAGATATAGAAGGATATACACAACAATGTATTAGAAATGAACAATGAATGAGTTGTATGATTGTTTTGTACAAACTTTATATTGGTCAACTTAGAACAAATGTACAGACAAAGACTGTTTCAATTTGTCAAACATAAGTTCAAATTTTTATTATTTTTTTGAGTTGTATCTTAAACCATTTAAAGTAAAGTAAACCAATAAAAGTAAAATTTTAAAGCAAATTTTAAAAATATACTGATGTTGAGCTTTATAACCACGAGACTGCTGCTCAAAATCACAGAATAAACATTGAGCCGGTAAAACGGCGGGTAATAGTTATTATTTTACCTGATTGTGTTAGTTTTTATTTGTTGCACACTCGCTGTTGACCCGGCCTTTGTCTCGATGCGCATGCGCGTGGGATTTGCGCACGAGCAATGCGATTATCCGCGCCATGGGAATAACGTATCGCTCTATACATTTTAAACAAATAACTATTAGAAAATTTTATATACGACATTTAAGTAACATTTTGCCGTGTTGTAGCTGTACGTTCAATAACTTTTTTAAAGTGGTACTTAATTAGTAATGTGTGTAACGAAATTTAGTCTTAATATACCAGCAAGTTCCACAGGTTTAGAGTCCTTAATCCCATTATCACTTACCCTCAGGCGGGTCATGATGTCTTTCTGCTAGCTTACGAGTACAAATAAAAACGATTCTATTTGATTATTCAAAAACCGTTCCATGAATATTTTTTATGAAAACATAGATATGCATACAACATTTTATATATTATTGCATAATTATTTTTAATATTAATGTAATGAAACTTTATATTTCCAATGATTTGTTACTGAAAGCTCATAAAAATGCTCAGCTTGGTTGTGTTTTTTTTATTTAACAGGTGATATTTAAATATTCAAACAAAATATAAGTAAAAACTGAATAAAAGGTGAATCAATACAAAAGCACATAACATTATAAGCTGCATTACCTAGAGGTACACCCACCTGCTATCCAAATACCGGCCGGGAGCCGTGTGTCATCATAGATCTGTGGTTTGGACTCCACATTACAATCCAAGGAGTGGCCGTTCACGTAGATGTGACTCTTTTGGACCTGTGGAGTCTAAAGAGCTGTCAGGGAACAAACCTCAATATATTATTTTTTACGAAAAAGACAAGACAACTCCCGAACTAGGAATATATCCTGTGTCGCGGGGGTCTTTACAAACATACATGAAACGGACACAAAGAACACCCAGACTCAGAACAACAATTTGTGGATCATACAACGTGTCGTCCCATGTGGAGATCGAACCCACAACACTCAGCGTAGTAGTAAGCGGCGTGGCGACTGCTTAAACCACTATGCCATCCGTGCAGTCATATATAACATTGTTCTTTTTTTCGCTAAAACCATTATGAAGTATTTCAGATATAAAAACGTTAAGAGTATTATATTATACGGTAATTACGGAATCTACATACAATCTTATAGCAATAAGATTAATTAAATTGTTCAACAGGTCTAACTACGTCATTAATTTTCTTAATTAGAATGAATTATATTTTTAATTGGTTGCTTTATGCAAAAAACTGTTGTGTGTGGAAAACGGGCGCTAGTTAGACTCTAGCCGAGACGCTTTTGTTGTAGACTGCGAACTCGCCTAACATTGTACTATAGTTAACACTTTCACTTTCCTATGGTTTTGCGCACACGGATATCCGTGCTAATATTATAAAACTGAAGAGTTTCTTTGTTTGAATGCGCTGATCTCAAGAACTACTGGTTCGAAATGAAAAATTATTGTAGTGTTAGATAGCCCATTTATCGAGGGAGGCTATCCCCCTTTTTTTTCTGTGCGGAACTCCCATCGGATACCACCCACCAGTGGGTGATTATGTCAGACTCGTAGCGACCAAAAACCGCATGCCCTCTCCAGATAACAGTAGCCGGGGAACCAGGTATACCCTAGAAAGGAAAGCCCTGGTATCGGAAGGCTATCCCCTGTCATTACACTACGACCAATAGGACATCGTAACATCAATGAAAAAGGTTGTAAAATATGATTCACATCTACCTACGTGTAACATAATCTTGCGTGATGCATGAGCGCAAACATCTTGACAGGCCATTGGTCTAGTGGTGATTAACCCTAACTGCTAAACCGGAGGCCGTGGGTTCAATTCCCACTCAGAACAAATATTTGTGTTGTGAGCATGATTGTTTGTTCTGTGTCTGGGTGTAATTTATCTATGATATGTATGTATTTTGAAATATATAAGTATGTTTATCAGCAGTCTGGTTACCATAGTACAGGCTCTGCCTAGTTTGGGATCAGACAGCCGTATGTGAGATGTGTGAGGTTATTATTATTATCTTTGGTTTGTACTATCAATATATACACACCTTATATAGTACCTAACAACAGTTACAGGTACGCGACCTCACGACCTGGGGCCAAGTGCGAGTTTATTTCACTTCTATTCGCTCTCCATGGCGAGGGCGTTTGGCGTCGCGATTGTTGAACATTTTCAGAGGCCCTGCCTAAACTTTCGCTTCTTATCTAGCTTTCCTTTAATGTAATTCCTAAGGGGTAATAGGCGGTAATAGGCTGGCCCCCTATTACTACTAAAACTAAAGTCGGCAAAATGTGTGCTTTAAAGTGTATAATAGTCGTAGACGTCATACGTCGTAGTGTATATATACTAGTTTTATTTAACGCTCTAATATAGGAAATGGATAACAATCGGCTGCAAAGATATTTCCTATATTTAAACATTAAATAATTTAATATTATATTGTTATTTGGATTGGAATATTTTTATTTAATTATGAAGAAATGCTAAGTATTAAATATGCAGAAAAGGCACGAAAGCACCGAGGATGAAGGACGCAAATGTCTGAAGGCAAAAGACAATTTCGCCACCTATTTTCCTGGTGGCAGGAAAGCACGGGCACGCCGTTATCTCGGCGGTAAGACCAGTTACGAAAGATTGGCTCAAAAGGCATCACGGGACCTTCTTAAACTGGCGCAGAAATAACCGAAACTAATTCTAACTAACTTCTGACCCTAGAAAGGAAATCCCTGGTACCCCTGGCTATTGGTACCTGAGACGGCGTGCGGTTTTTGATCAGTTCGAGTCCAACATAGCCACCCCACCAGTTGGTGGTATCCGAGGGGATTTCCGCACAAGGAAAAAAAAAAATAAAGGTGACAGGAAAGCAAAAAGATTATGGTTTTGCATTCACTCGGTATTTTATAGAACGGATGCTACTAACACAGTTTTAATTTTGTTATCATTTAGTTATTTAGTTTATAGTAAGTAAGTTATTTAGTTTTAGTTTATAGTTATACAAATAAATAAAATTGGATTGTCTGTTTGTAATATTAAAATAACCGCTTTTTTCTAAATGCATATGTATGTTTACACGGTACATATGCCAAAATAACATTTTTTACAATTTTTGTCTGTTTGTCTGTCTGTCTGTTTGTTCCGGGTAATCTCTGGAACGGCTGGACCGATTTCGACGGGACTTTCACTGGCAGATAGCTGATGACATAAGGAGTAACTTAGGCTACTTTTTTTAGACTAGCTTCGTCCCGCGGCGTTGCCCGCGGTTATAAAAACAGACGCGGGTAACACCGCGGGTCTCAGCTAGTTATAAAATAAAAATCCAAATAATTAACTTTTAAAAAAGTATCACCGAATTTAGTGCGCAACATCGTGATTCTCATTGTAACAAAGGGCATTCGTCATTCCATAATTTTTACCTTCGAGGAAGGCATTTTTTTCTTCAAATTAAAATGGGACCAAACGGGAAGTTTAACTCCTCAAATAAAAAAAAGAATTTGCAGAATATGATCATAAATGACGGAGTTTTGAAAAACAAACATAAAAACCTTTCTCCTGTTTTTGAAGTCGGCCAGGCACGAGAGCAGAAAGACGCGAAGAACGGATTCTAACAAAATCGTCAAACAACAGAAATACTAACATTATAATGAACGGAACGAAGCACAGCCTCTCACACATATGCATAAATTAAGCTTAAATTAATATAAGTACTTCGTGCTTAGAAAGTTACAAAAATAAATATAAAAATTAAAATCGGCGCGAGAACTTTCGTTGCACGACGTAGGCTTTGTAGTGACTGCGTAGTTCGGTGTGTCTTCGTTAGATGACACTGAATTATGTTTATCATTGTGTGTGTGTGGAAGTCGCCAAAGTGCTCATCACACTGTAACTTGTCCCTGGAGAGGATCGAACACACGACCCCTGATTTGATCACTATCCAATAGACCTATAATTTTCTTCTACCAGCTCGATGCAGCGTTACAGCAAATCTCAAATGTTCGAGATCTACTGTGCCAAGGGAAGAACTTTGACTCCACGCGTCTATTATAAGGGTACATTGTATTTGTTGCAGTGCACAATGTGTCGCAGCCCCAAGCCGGTGGTCAACGAGGACATATTTAAGCTCCAGGACGGCGCCAGCGCGCTGCCCACGCCTGAAGTTTGTGGTAACGTATACCTACATGATGCCTTTCATACAGCTAATACATATATTTTGCATTTTATCTACCGTAATAAGTATCTGTATCGTTTTTTATTACTCAGGATCTTTTTGTGATTCGATTGCGAGATATTAAACTTTAAGGTGCTATTTTATCAGAACCGACTGTCTCCCCCTCTCACATACAAACTTGGGCTTGAAAAGTATGGAAAAAAATCCTGATGATAGTTTTTATAATGAACTAAGGAGAAAACACATTACGGCTTGTTATCTCCGTTAGGTTATATTATTCGCCAATGTATAAAAATACCTACTGGGCAAATTTCGTACAAAAATACAAAATTCTTAGATAAAATTACTGGGACGCAGTTATTACTTGTTTAGAGCTGGTAGTAATAAACAGACTTACGGGAAGTACCTAATTCATTGCACGTGCCTCGATTTCGACTTCGCTTGTTATTTCTGTGAATCTTTTAAATATTTTATGATTTTTTATTTGCGCCAGACGGTACTGACTATTGTTATTTGCCACTAGGCACTAATGAAAAGGAAATCACTTACTTACGTAATTTGTGAAATTTTTAACTAATTTACATTTAGCGTTCTTGGTTCAATGGACATATTAGTCAGTCTTATAACAAGTTGGTACACGGAATACCCTCTATTCAAACCCTGGGTGTCGTAAAAGCCGACTAAGGGGACAAACTACGCAGGACAACAGCGGCAAAGAGAAGGAAAACTTGACACAAACCCTATACCAACCCGTCTGGCCAGCGTGGTATAGTAAGCCAAAACCTCCTTTCTAAGGAGAGGCCTATATCCAGCAGTGGATTATTCAAGGCTGTTGATGTGAAGATGTGTGTGATGACACGGAATACACCTTAGACAGTATCCTGATAATTTCTGTTATAAGAACTTGTGTTAATTAATAGAGGTCGATTTTTAGACCTCGTCGACCCCCAAAATCAGTTTTCGTTTATGTTAACCCCTGGGAAATCGATTTCGCCCACTTTGGGAATCCCTGGTCAAGTGGTTAGTAATCCTAGGTCGTGGGTTCGATTCCCACTCAGGACAAATATTACGTGATAACCACCATCGATAATGTGTATGTATTTAAAAATATTAAAGTATGTTTATCAGCAGTCTGGTTATTATTGCATAGGCTCTGCCTAGTTTGTAGGCAGAGTGTGAGATGTGCGGTATGTAAGATAAGATGAAATATTCAACTTATATTGTAAAATAATTTATTCTGTTATTGTTTTTTAGTACGAGTACCTAATAGTAAAATAAATGGACACTTAGCTCATAGTAGTGACTGTTACTGCGACCTTAAAACAAGCGCCGTACAATGCAATCGTACCCGTACAACGGTATCGACCCGTTTTATTTCCGCGCGATTCAAGTTTATTTTGATTCGATTCACCTTGACATGCACTCTATATCGATCTTGTATTTTCAAAATGGTTCGTCGGATCTTGGCCGACTGCTATACTAATGACAACCCTTAAATGAAACCAATCCTAAATACATCGATTAAAAAGATACTCTAATCTTTTCAGGTGCTGAGGCAGTCACAGAGAGGCTGAAGCCTCTAAGAATATCCTCGCCACAAGGCGCCAGTGCGTCCTCTGTTGCTAAGTGGCCTTGTCCTGTTAGTGTTTGTCTATTTATTATTATAAATATTAATATATTATTATGGGATGAATAATATGTTGGGGAGCTCGTTGTGCTCGGCTCGGCTCGAGCTTTCAATAACTAACATTAGTTTATTCGCAGACGTGTACATACGACAACTGGCCCAAGTCTATGAAGTGTGCGATGTGTGGGAGCAGTAATCCCGGTCCGAACCCCTCCCCGACTCCCACGCACAAAAATACACTCGGTAGGTATATATTACATTAATATCTCATACAGATGGTTCGATATGGCTTCCCTATAGATTGTAAAGTTAATCCTGGCACACTTATTTGGCTTGAAAAGTCAGATAAAATAATCCATTATTTCCCTCGCAGAATATTCTTCAATTTGAAACAAATTCTTTTTTTCTTTCTTTTTTTTATACAACTCTTGAATTTGTAATATAATCTTGTGTCGTAGGGGACTTTACAAACAATTATTAAACGGACACAAAGAATACCCAGACTCAGGACAATAATTTGTGGATCACACAAAGTGATGGCCCATGTTGGGATCGAACCCACACAACTTAGCAGTAGGAAGCGGCGAGGTGACCGCTTAAACCGCTAAGCCATCCGTGTAATCGAAATGTCTACTTACTGGTCCCGTAACTCTTTTTTCGGGACTTCAATACTCGGGTCCGAAACTGTAGATCTCGGTGTCGAATCCTCCAGTCTCACTCGTCAGGTAGTGATTTCGTGGTCCGGTACAGGTATAAACGACATCTGCAACAGCCAGGCGGCGTCGATCCACGAGCTGGAGGCGGCGGGGCGCCGCTCCAAGCGCCGCGCCACCAACACCAACACGGACTGGCTCTGGCTGCAGGCGTGCCTCGGTAGGTACCGGCACTGGGTGGTATGTAGGGTGCAGGCGGGCAGTGACGGGCTCGTGGGTTGCAGGCGTGGTGGAGGGCGAGGCGCGCTGCGTGGAGGCGTACCTGGCGAGCGGCGGCGACACGGCGCGCGCGCTCACCCCTCCCGAGGTGGCGCTGCTCAACCGCGCCTCCGCCTTCGACGCGGGCCACACGCTCGTGCACCTCGCCATCAGGTACCCGCACCGACACTCACTCACCCTTCTCACTAATAACATACTCTTTTATTTGCATAGAGATTAAAAAAAAGCTCGTTCTTCTTTTCGGCCACTGTGACGCTCACGGTCGACCTTCATTTTATTTCACAAAAAGAGTCCTCACTGAATGATGTATAGAATTATCTTTATAGAGCTCGTATTGCTTCGTTGTTATTTATTATTGTACTAGCGATCCGCCACGGCTTCGCACGGGTACAATATAGTACCACTAATGTAGTGTCAGTGTCGAGATATTAATTATACTATTATTATGATAAGACTATACTACCGGACATCTTTATATGCATATTTATAGGCCCGCTTCGTTCTTACCGGCCGCTGCCACCCGGGTCGGATGTACGGCCCGACGCGACGCACCGACGGCTGCTTTGCCCCCGCATTTTAAATCTCTGATATCTACTAAGATATTCATTTTAATGTAAAATGCATTTTTGATCTACATTAAATACACAACGTACCTAAAGTATTAATTTCGATAAGGAATAATAGTGTATTGTTAAAAATAGCTTCGTAAACAACCCATACACATACATAATTATCAACAATTATAACAGTCCACTCCTGGACATAGGTCTCTCCTTAGAAAGGAGGGTTTGGCCTACTATACCACACTGGCCAAACAACCCATTTTTATTATAATATAATAAAAGATAAAAATAGTTACTGTGGGTGATCCTTAAGAGATAAACATATACCATCGCACACTTTTTTGTAGATCTTTCTAAGATTAGTTGCTTAGTTTAAAAGATCTAAGACTTTATTTTATACTATGTAAAGATAAAAATATGTATCCGCTTACAGGTTTCAACGTCAAGATATTTTATCAACACTGCTATCTAGGATATCAGGGGGTGGGCCCGGTCTCAAGCGGTCTCCCTCCTACATAGGTAAACGAATATAGTCTAATAAATACTTTTCTTGTCTTTTCCTTAACACAGTTTAATATTTGAAATTGAATTTGTCGTGGGAACTTTTCATATCGTGATACAGGATTAGGGGTCAGTAGTTCGGTGTGTTTTCGTTAGATGGCACAGAAATATGGTTTTGTTTCACTGTATATTAAAAACGCTGCAGTCTGGTTCAATTTTCCTGCCAGTGGCATTCATGTGTATGTGTTTCGGGCCTGACTTGGACAATTTATCTGGGATTGAAAAGACCTGTTTCGTCAGTATCAGGCTTTGCACTGCATCGGTTGCGTTGCAGTATAAGTAACGGTATATACCGAATTGAATGTATCACAAAACATAGAACACTTTAATTAAAGTAAGATTTAATCTGATCGAAAAATTGAAGACGTTTTCACTGTCCCTAGCATCGACTAGCGAGACCGAAATTATATTTTTTTGTAAAAATTGCAAAGTTGTGATTGTTTGACAGCTCCTGACCTGGCTTCGGGTATAAGACGTCACATAGCTTCGTGTATCCGATATAAAAAGGGAAGCTTCCCGTGTCGGTATATCAACGAGTTCTGCACATTCTACTTGCCCGCCGGTAACTATGCTCACCTTCGTATGTAGTAGTCGATGTACTCAGCAGCAAGGTTGAAGACACGTGATGTGGTTGTTTTCCAGAGATAGAGGAGTTGCCAGCCCCTATCCAGGAGCAGCTGTTCTCAGAGCTGCTGGACCGAGACGCGCAGCAGACACTTGAGGCAGACCCCCCTCTCATTAACTGGAGCCTCGAGCTCACCGTGCGATTAGGTGAGTCACACGTTTACCTTACATACTTTTATCTTTTTATAACATTCCTTTTGCTACGTACACGTAGTCTGACAGTCGTCGGGAAACAATATACAAAATATAAACCGCAGCGATTTCCTTTAAATAATAATGTCTTATGGTAATTAATGGTACATAGTTTGACAATGTCTTTTGCCAATTTATAGTGCTCAATGGACGATTTCAGGAATGCTCGACTGCAGCTGGAGCAGTTCTTCGATACAGTTCACTATGTTTGTACGTAGGTCACTATATATGTTTTTAGATGCTCGAAATTTAAAAATGGAACGCATCTGTGTATATATATTATTAAAATGCAAATTTTATTTGAAAATCGAACACAATGACGTATTATTACGACTTTAAATGTGGTTTATCTGAAGGTTAGAACTTTTAGAAGCTAATCAGCTTTAGGTGAGTCTGCTACTTCTCGGGCAACCATTTTTAGATAATTTAACGAAATAAAAAGAAACTAACCTTGAAGATGATGACAGAAGTGGACAGCAGTCACTGCTGAAAATGTGTGGACTACTGAAATGCTTGTGCGAGATGACCCACGGATTACATACAGGGACACAGAGAAAATTTTAGGCATCAGTTCGGTCAGTGTTCCCACCATAAAACATGAAGATCTTAGAATGAGGAAGCTTTGTTGTCGTTGGATACCTCGTATGCTCTCTGAAACGGAAAAAGAAGCCCGCTAGCCGTGAGATGCGTCTACGTTTTGAAAATGGGAGGTCAAGACTGTGTGTCTGAAATCATTACTGGTGACGAAACATGGATATATCAACATGATCCGGAAAGCAAGAATCGTTCCTCGCTATGGGTGTTTCCAGATGGCCAGTTGCCAACAAAATTGCAAAGACCGCGGAACATTGACCAAAAATAGTTTGCAGTTTTTTTCACGGATCCGATCCTATAATATGTTTTGTAACAAATCTAAAATTCACCTGTCTTAGATTTTTTTTCTAATATTTGTCAAAGAAAATATATTTTTACATATTTACGAGTATATCTTTGATAATATAATGAGGATTTACTCGAGCTTCATGGGGACCTTTGCATTTGAAAGATTAGGTAATAGAATGAATAAAAGTTATTTAATGTTTAAACTTTTAGCGGTGGGATAACTTCTACAGGTTTTCAAAACATTTAAGGGGAGGAAATCGAAAACAAAATATTCGGTTGCTTCAGATATTTTGAGGATATGTTATTTGGATGCCGAAAATGCTCCCATTGTAAGATCTGACGAGTTTAAAGTGACACAAGCTGGTAGCGAATTATCAAAAATGCAAACTGAAAATTCTAAAAATCACCATTTCGAAATACCCGAGTGTGTTAGATTTTATACAGACAGTTTTGCTTAATGTTCCTGTGCGTTTGCCTGGTTGTTTTTTTATTTTTTACAAAATGGGATAAACTATTCATGAAAAATGATGTAGACATTTAAAGAAGATTTTTTGCATCGTTTGCTTCAAAATAAAAAGTCATGTGTTTTATTTTGTAACTTTGTGATCTTGTGCCTTATGTCACGCCTAAATCGGCAGGGTTTTTTAAATACACACTAATGTGTATGTAATTAACCCAAGTTACCTTTCGCATAAAGCGATAACGTAAACGAGAGGAGTAACGCTTAAATACCGTGTGCAGGGTCGCGACTATACGCGCTGTGGAATCGTTCAGCAGGAGACTGTCTGCCGGACGCGGTGTGCCAGGCCGCGTACGGCGTGTTCGACCGCCACAACACGCTGCGCACGGCGCTGGCCGAGTCGCTGCAGCACGCGCAGCGCAGGTAGGGCGGGGCGGGCGGGGGTGGAGCGGTGTGTGTGGGCGGTGCGCAGAGGCAGTAAGCCAGGCCTGTTGCAGCTTCTACGCGCGCTGGGCCACGTGGGAGCGCGCGCAGGCGGCGCGGCTGCAGTACGCGCCCGAGGACGCGCAGCTGCGCGCCGAGTGGACGCGCCTGGCGGCGGCGGCGGCCCGGCCCGGCGCGGCGCTGCAGCAGCTGCACGTGTGGGCGCTGGCGCACGTGCTGCGCCGCCCGCTCGTCGTGTACGGCGAGGACGTGGTCAACTCCTTCCGCGGCGACGCGCTGGGCTACGCGCGCTTCCGCGGCCTGTACCTGCCGCTGCTGTGCGACGCCGACTCGTGCTGCAAGTCGCCGCTGGCGCTGGCCTACACGCGCGGACACTTCTCGGCGCTCGTGGCGCTGGACCCCGCGCCGCCCTACATCCGCCCGGCCGACGCGCCGCCCGCCACGGCCTTCCTGCCGCTCACCGACTGCGACGGCAAGCTGATGCCCGTGCACTTCCTCACCTGCGACGAGGTACGACCGCCGTTCCTTCCCTACGAATCTAACCCTATCACATGAGGAAAGCGGTTCCCTGATCTTTTCGCACTCCATTTACTAAACGCTCTTGCTGTATCAGATGTTCACAGCACGATCTACTCACTGTAGTTAATTTTCATTGCATTGCATGCCTCTTATTGTTAACGGAATGAAAAAAATCTCCAACTCATTGGGAACGCAGGAGTCAGAAATATACAGTGTTTCCATTACAAACAACATCGACGCCATCTTCAGACGAACTAATTTGGAAAGAACCCCTACCATGTGATTTCGAGTCCTCCCGTAATCGACACCACGCCTAATTAAGCCATATCCAAAGGAAAGTTACAAACTTTTCCGCAAGACGAAGAACGTGTCACGTCGTACTTAAAAACCATTCATTTCATACCTATCATTCTTATTAAAATATTTTTATCTAAAATATTTTAATAATTTAAAGTATCATACAGGGTGTAAGGGACGGTGTAACGAATATTGAAATAATGTATTCAGACCATTCTTCTGACTTGAAAATCATTGAGATTTTCTGCCGGAAAATTTAACGTTTTATGTAATTAGCTGTCAAACGTTAAGGTCATTTTTCGTAAGTATCGCATAAAAGTAATAACTACATTTGTATTCCGTTAAAACAGTCTACGCACACTAACATAAGTAGGCGGCCGGAGGGGAGGCCACGCGCGCTTTGGCTGTTTGATTAATTACATTGGTGGTTTCGACCGTATTATCGTATACTTACCGGTATTTATTATAAAAGAAAACGGTAAAATCTTGTGTGTACTCATGTGATATCATTATTAAAAAATGAAAAATTTAAAATTATTAAATTTTCCGACAGTATATTCTAATGATTTTTGACTCGGAATACTGGTGTGATAACACTATTTCGGTATATGTTACACCGTCCCTTACATCCTGTATATGTCAGGGATTTCACGATAAAGAAAATACGTTTTTTTTCTTCATTACTGGTGTTAAAGTAAAGCCATATTTTATATTGATATGACTCTTCCCTTAAATTATTTTGCTGCTATGCGTCCGCTCAGTGTTGGGACTCGTCGAACGGAACGTAAAATATTTTACGTTACGACGCGTACCAGTGATGTGATGTCCTCGTGCGCAGATGTCGGACCCGGAGGCGGTGGTGCGGCGCTGGGTGTCGGCGTGCGTGACGGGCGGCGGCGTGCTCGCCGCGCGCCAGGCGCTGCACGCGCGCCCGCTGCTGCAGGCGCAGATGCTGGAGGAGTGGCTCAACCACTACCGCCGCCTCGCGTGAGTAGCCTCGCCACCCCCTCTCGCACTGAGGACGATGAGGTTACGCCCGAAATTGCCGAAATATTGATCTCCCGGGACGATCCTTAGAAACTGTTAAACTGATGTAGACCCGTTTTGCCTCATGTACGACACGTAGCCCACACTGGATTCATCACTGATCCCGAAACGAAACGACGATGCGACGCGAAGGCGTCTAACTCGATAATGCCGAAGTTTTCATTTCATGATATAAGAGCAAACGAGCAAACGGATCGCCTAATGGTAACCCATAAATGTTTGACACCGACAAAAATATGTCTTTTATAGTTTAAAATTTAAGTTCATCGTACCGACAAAACGAAAGTCAAATGTTTAAAAGAAAGAAACATTTTGTAAGGAAAAATTAAATTGTTGTTTTTACTATATTCCTCGCATTTATTCCTATTTTCTCATCGTTTAACCTTTCCCTGGATTGCACAAATATTTCAAGACCAATATTAGCCATATCGGTCTAGCCAGTCCCGAGTTTTAGTAAGTCTAACGAACAGTAATTCTTTTTATATTTAAGATTTTCAAATTCTAGAAAAAAGATACATCGAATATCCTCGTATAATATTCGTAGTTAAGTCGAAGCCTCCTAACGAATCTTCCAAACCCTTGGAAAGTTTATTAGATATACATCGATTGTAAGTAAAATTAGCGTGTTAATGTAAGTTTACCTCCGGCAGGCAACAGACCCGCGGGCCGTTCCCGCCGCGGCTGCAGGCGGCCAGCGCCGAGTTCTCCAGCGACGCCGACACCGACGAGGAGTAGCCGCCTCCCCCCACCCAGCCTGTCTCGCCTCCTCCACACTCGACCGCTGAGTCGCCAAATTATATGTTAATGCTGCTAAGAATTTTTGGGGTTCTATAAGATTATTAAATGAATTGTCACGATCGTTGAACCGGAGCGGTCCGTCTGAGCGACCGCGGTGTGGAGGGGGGGAGGGGGGGGCGAGCGGTGACGACTAGTTCGATTTATTATTTTAGCACGTATCGAATACACTAATATCTTTTAGCGGTGTTCGCTCTTCATTATGACGTTTTCGGTTTGTTTATTTGTAATTAATATTTCCGTGAGCCGTAGGGAGTCACGTCTTAAACGCGATACCGTTTACCGAATCGTTATAAACGGTATCGAATTATAAGACGTTTATGTGATATTCGACCGTAGGCATCGAGCCGTACGATGGCAAATAAATAGAGTATCGGTACAGACGGTGGCGCGGGGCCTCGGAGCGGAGATTGTACTGTTACGTATTACAATATTTAGATTCATGCCGAGGCCTCGCGCGTAGCTTACGCTTAGATTCAATATTCACAGTCGTACAAAACTAATTAAGACTGCCGAGCGTCGACGTGCTATCATATTTACAGTGGTACAGAGTTAGCAACGCTAAAATTATTATAAAGAGTTATATCTCACCTACTTTTGTATGAGAGAGACAGCGCAATAATGTATCTGAAGCACTGATACGGGGCGGGAGCCCCGGGGCCACGGGGCCCGGCCCGGAGGGGGCCACGACGGCGAGCGTTACCGACACTGACGACTTAAATTTTCTTAAAAAGCTTTGAATCTATTAACATTTAGTGGTAGTTGGCGCCGGTCAGTGTCGTCAACGTTCGCGGGGCCGCCTCCTACCGAGCGACGACACGTTTTATAGAAAATACATCCTATCATATACACTATGATTTATAAATTGTTACCATTCCTCTCCTCGATACGAAGGGTCGTACGTCCGGAGAGGATTTCTTTAAAATTTGATATTTAAGGTCATAGCTCATTGGAGCCACCCGACACCCGCCCGGCACTATCGAACCCCGCGTGGACGGCGAGTGGCCCACTCTGTCCTCTCGTAGGTCGCACGCTCGGTTGCGCGCGCGCAGGTCCCGCTGTCCGCGAGTGGTTCACGCGCGAGGACGATGCATCGGCAGATGCGCATCCGCGCTTCCACCCCCTTTATTTATTTATTTTCTTCTGTTTCTTTCTTTCCTAGTCTTAGTCCTAGTCTTTCTATATCAGTCGTCCGTTTTCTGGTTAACGACGCATCCAACCGTGGACCACCTGTCGAGGCCGAGTGGACCAGGGTGGTGGCGGTCGGGCACCCGGCGGGTCTGATGAGCTATGACCTCTAAGCTTGCCGTTGCTACGTTATAATGCGCCTTCAATTTTACGAAAACGATGATGTTGCCTGGCGAGTGAGTCTTTCACTGACGTAAGTTTGCAACTTCTATGTAAAATACAAAACATGAGCTGAAACATGATAAAAATGTAATAAAACGATAAACGAAGAGTCTATTAAATTAACAACATTGTACAGAGAGTATAAGGTTCTAATATTTATATTGTCATAGTTTTCGGTTGTAAATAAAATAAATTGGTTTAAAGTAATGTTTATAGTTATATTGGTTGACCTCCCGCTTCGCCCGCAGCCCGAGCGTGCGGTCGCGCGCCGACCCCCACTTGGAGCGCTTGCAACTTATAACACTATTTCATCTAATAGGCACTTTTTTTGTTAATTTCGTCCAAATCTGTAAATAAGTTAAATAGGTACATATGTCACAGAGTCACTATATTCGAGATATTTTTGTTAACAGTCACGTTACGTGTAATTCAAATTATGTACCTATATCTACTAATTTTTAATCAATAAAGCACTTATTTTATGAAGCTGTTCGAAATTTCTTTTTGTTTTATTTTCTTTAACCGTAACCGTACACGTCGCGTCTGAGACTGCAGTTGTTGTGAGCAACAACTTAGCGGCGATCCGTCAAATTACTTCTTTTGACCTGTTAAATCTCGTTTTGTACACCAAAAACTAATGGTCCCTGGTGGTCCCTAATGGTCAGTTAAAAGCCCCCACTCCGACAGTCATTTAACTAAGTACGTTTATTACTTCTCACTCTCACAAGAGGCATCGTGATTTTAGTTTTATAAAGTATATTTGGCTACTTGGGAATATTTGAATTGTCATCTGCATAACATATTTTTGAGGTAGATTTTGTATGTAGAAAAATTATTTATAAGGACGTGTAATTATACAGAATAAATACTATAAATTGTAATAATATACATTAAATAAATGATAGATACACCTGAATATAATATATACATATAATACAAAGATATTTAAATTTAAACTATTTTTTGATCTTGGTCTCAGGTATTAAAACTGAAACTAAATAACACGATGTGATGTTGATGATACCTGAGAAGCCCAGTTAATGTCTATATTATTCTGAGATAGTAACAGTTGGGGGAAGCAAATAGTAACATGTACAGCACGTAGTTTCAGAGTTGTATAAGAAATAAAGCGAAGAGGAGGCGTTTCTCCGACGCAACTTTTTATACTTTTTTCTTCCTTTTATAAAAGTATTTTGTTCCTATGTTACACTTTCAACATTTTCGTAGCCTAACGTTAGGTAAGATCTTTCTAATGTTAATAACTTACACATTGGGTATTACCCAATAACAGCGGTACTCACGATTTTAAGGAGTGGACTACACTATATGGACGGAAGTGTTTTTGGTCGATTTCTTCTCACAAAGTCATCCATCAACCATCTAGAACTACTCTATCTGATCATCATCATCTCAGCCGAGAGACGTCCACTGCTGGATATTAGGCCTTCCTCCAAAGGTACAACAACCAGTCCTGTGCTGCCTGCATCCAACGGCTTTCCGTGGTCTTCACCAGGTCGTCGGACCACCTTGTCACCACCCGTCGACCCTCGCTGATATCAGATACCTATCTGTTATCATTTTTTGGAACGAAGTTCCTTATCGCACGTTACACGCTCTGTGTATTGTGAATGTAAAAAATGTGTAACAAGACTTTTCCGACACTTCAGGTGGCGCATCGACGCTTATATCTTTTTCATGGTTCACATTATATATCAAACGTCTACCAAAAAGCGAAAGGAACTTCGTTCCGACCGGGACTAAGATGTAAAGGCCAATGAATAAGTCATCATCATTAGCCTATTGCAGTCCACTGCTGGACATGAGCCTCTCCCATTGCAAGATCAAGGAGACTAGAAGAAGAAAACTCATTGCACCGACTCCCAAATAAATGTAAGAAAAAGATACGATTGCAAATAATTTTGCAATTTTATAAAATAAAGATGAATTTAATAGGGTGAGACCTCTAATGAGGTAGAAAAAAAATGTTTTGCGATGACCACCCTGCTATAAAAGTTGACAACCCGAGCAAGGATGGTCTGTATGTGGATGGCCGAGGTCCGGGTTCTTCAAGAAAAAGCTTTGTCCAGGACTGACTAATTGATTAATTGCATGATGCAAGTTTGGTAGTTATACAAAATATTCAATAGTTATTATTAAAAATGTTTTAAGTTATGATTACTTAAAACTTGACTGAATTTTTAACTTACGAGATAAGAAGAATTTTCTGTTGGTAATATTTATATAGCAGTTTGTTTCGAAGTGGCTAAACAGTAAAAGATATGTATTGTAACTTAGACACAGTGACCTTGAGTTGAAAATTTGGCATACATTACAAATTAGGGATGGAATAAAATCACAATCACATGACATGATAATCATATGATTCATGAATCATATACACAACTGCGACTTAATTATTTTAATTAAGTTAGCACAAGACTTGCGAAAGTTCTAAATCTAAAAAAAAACAATCATTTCATCAAATGAATATAATTTCTAAGTAGCAATAATTTCCATGTCTATTACAAACGGAAACGCTATCTCCTCCGAGATAAGCTACAAGTTTTACAGCTATGTTATTATCAGGTAACTTAACAAGTCATAGTTAAATATGTTACAATGTAATATGCAGGAGCAATATTACTGCATCATAAACATCGAGTGTACTATCTTATAATGCACTTTGTTAAGATGAGGTGCGATGCCGTACCAGATCGCGTACTCATAGAAAGAAATAAACTTCAGAACGCAACTAACTAGTCAAGCTTCTTATTTCTAAACGTGCGCGCGCTATCTGACAGCTGCAAGACCAGTGGGAGCGTTGCGTTGTGAGACCTGCCCAGTTTTTTTATTTTATTTAATAAGAATTCTATTAGTTTTAAATAAGATTAACAATTAAACAGTGTCTGTGTCATAATAGTGTAACTGTGATGATGAATAAATAATTTTATAAGTAAATCTTCGTTGGATCTTAAGCCTAGCGAGCGACCGTAACAAAATGGGTTAGTACGCCGGCTATTTATTCTTTTTAGTTTTATTTTGTCGCTTATGAATAATGCAGCTAATGCGTTAAAAAGCTTTTTCTACATTTCTTTACCGATTCTCCATTGCGTTAGTCTAGTTATAATCATATCTGTTTGACGATCCCTTGTTTATTGGTGCAAATATCGATTTTTCTCATGCGTCGGTTTTTTCGACAGAAGGGTTAAAAATAAATGCTTTCTGTTGATTAAGTAGCATTTCCTTCGACAAACATTTTGTTTATGGTGCATATGACCAGGCCTTCATTCATAAATAAAAAAATTAAATACTTTGAAGTGCAGTAACCACATTTAAATTGGTGTCGATCCTCCTCCACAGTATAGGCATTTAAATATGTTTAGTATAACTTACAGAGCAGTGGTAGTTATGCAAGAAGGTGTTAAGTATTTAGCGAAGGCCTGTGAGGCGGCAGGTGATTATGGTATGCGGCGGCGCTAATCGCCGTGTCCTTGCCAACTACGATGGACTTTTTGTTATGCAAAATCCCAACTTACATGATAAATGCAAATATTAGTCTTTTTGTTTGTTACGCTCTTACATGCAAACTC